TTGGTTTTGCACAGGGAGGAACAGAAGGGAATTTTCTCAGCCTGATAAAGGGCATCTACCCACACTGAACACTATACGTAACTGTGAAAACCTGGATGTTTCCCCATAAAATCAGGAACAAGGAAAGGGTGTCCACACTCACCACTTCTATGCAACATGTCACTGAAGCTATAGCCAGAATAATATGACAAGAAAATGAAATGAAAAGCACCCAGGCAGGAAAAAACTAAGCAAAAGTTTCTCTATTTACAGAAAACCTCATCTTGTATGTAAGAAATCCTAAGGGAGACACACACACACACACACACACACACACACACACACTATGCCCAATGAATGAGCTCAAAAGAGTTCAGGGCACAATTCCTATACACAAAAGTCAGCTATGTTTCTACAACCACCAATGAGCAATGCAAACAGGATGTAAGGGAATAATTCTGTCAAAAAGTGTATTATTCTTAGGAATACAGACAACCAAAAAGTCTAAGACTTGGACACTTAACACTACAAGACATCAATGGAAGAAATTAAAGATGACCAAACTAAATGGGGGAAAATCCCATGTTCATGTATTGGAAGACCTAATATTGTGAAGATTGAAACACTCTAAAAAACTTGATCTACCAATTCAATGCAATTACATCCCAGATTTCTTTTCTGCAGAAATTGTCAAGCTGATCCTAAAATTTATGTAAACATTCAAGGAACCCAAAATGGCTAAAACATCTTTGAAAAAGAAAAATAAAGTTGACGACTCATGTTTTCCGATTTCTAAATGGGCTACAAAGCAAGCAGTAATCAAGGCAGTGTGGTGGTTGTCTGAAGATAGAAAGACGCATTAATGGAATAGATTTGAGACCCTTGAGATAAAGCCTCACAGTTGTGGCCAATGGATTTTCAACAAGAGTACGAAACAATTCCACGGGAAAAAAGGAGCCTTTTCAACAAGCAATGCTACTGAGACAACTGGATGTCCACATGCAGAAGAATGAATTTGGACCTTTACCTCTTACCATATACCAAACACACGAACAAGACAAAAACAGAAAAAAATAGCTCAATGGCCTAATTGTAAAAGCCAAAACTAGAGGACTGTGAGAAGAAAAACAGGTTAAGTCTTTTATGACCTTGGAGTGTGCAACGGCTCTTAGAGAATGACACCAAAAGCACGAGGGATAAAAGGAAAAACTAGATTAAATAACTCTATCAAAACTAATCGTTTTTATGCTTCTAAGAGGACTATCAAGAAAATGAAAAGACACCAATGGACCAATGGAATGGGAGAAACTACTTTCAAATCATATATTTGATAATGAACTTGCATCCAGACATAAAGAATTCTTAGTACTCAAACATAGAATCCAATTAAAAACATAGCAGAGGATTTAAATAGGCATTTTCTGAAGATATACAAATGGCTCATAAGCTTGTGAAAAGGGGCTCATCACTGATTTATGTTTTTGCCTGTAACTTCTGTTCCCCAAGACATACGAGATCAAGTTGTAGTCTAACCACCTGGTGATGATATCAAGACTTCTAGAGACTGTGTTCTGACCATGGTCACTCACATTTGGCTCAGATATTTGACAGAGTTTGCCTTTTTTCATCAGCAGGTCATTAACTTCAGATCTGTCTTCTCTTTAAATGTGTGTGTTTATGGTTATAAACTTCTACCTCACACTGCTTTTGATGCATCCATAAACTTTGGTATGCTGTGTTTTCCCTTCCATTTGTCTCTAGGTATTTCTCTTGTGACTTCTTCTTTGCTTCATCGGTTAAGAGTGTGCTGTTTAATTTCCACACGGTTGTAGATTTTCCGTTTTTCCTTCACCTATGGATTTCTAGTTTTAATCCACTGTGCTTGGAGAAAACACCATATAATTTCACATTTAAAATGTGTTGAAATTTGTTCTGTGGCCTGACATATGGTCTATCCTGGAGAAAATTCCATGTGCACCTGAGAGAAAGGTATACTCTGCTGCTGTTGGGTTGGAGTCATCTGTGTATTAGCCATTTGTATATCTTCTTCAGAAAATGCCTATTTACATCCTCTGCTAAGTTTTAATTGGACTGTACGTTTGAGTACTAATAATTCTTTATGTCTGGATGCAAGTTCATTATCAAATATATGATTCAAAAGTAGTTTCCTCCATTCTGTTGGTGTCTTTTCATTTTCTTAATAGTGCTCTTAGAAGCATAAAAGTTATTAGTTTTGATGGAGTTATTCTAGTTTTTTCTTTTATCCCTCGTGCTTTAGGTGTCATTCTCTAAGAGCCATTGCATACTCCACGGTCATAAGGTTTAACCTGTTTTTCTTCTCACAGTCCTCTAGTTTTGGCTTGTACAATTAAGCCATTGAGCTATTTTTTCTGTTTTTGTCATGTTCGGTTGTTTGGTATATGGTAAGAGGTAAAGGTCCAAATTCATTCTTCTGCATGTGGACATCCAGTTGTCTCAGTGGCATTGGTTGTGGAAAAGGTTCCTTTTTCCCATGGAATTGTTTCGTACTCTTGTTGAAAATCCACTGACCACAACTGTGAGGTTTATCTCAACGGTCTTGAATCTACTCCACTGATGCATCTTTCTATATTTAGACAAGCACCACTCTGCCTTGATTACTGTTTGCTTTGGAGCCCATTTAGAAATTGGAAAACATGAGTCCTCAATTTTATTTTTCTTTTTCAAGATTGTTTTAGCTCTTTAGGATTCCTTGAATATTTACATACATTTAAGAATCAGCTTGTCCATTTCTGCAGAAAAGAAACCTGAGATGTAATTCCATTGAACTGGTAGATCAATTTTTATAGTGTTTCAGTCTTCACAATATTCTTCTTCCAATACATGAACATGGGATTTTCCCCCCATTTACTTTGGTCCTCTTTGACTTCTTCCAGTGATGTCTTGTAGTGTTAAGTGTCCAAATCTTGAATTTTTGGTTGCTGGTATTCCTAGGAATTTTATTCTTTTTGATAGAATTGTTCCCTTATATCCTGTTGGCATTGCTCATTGGTGGTTGTAGAAACACAGCTGACTTTTGTGTATAGGACTTGTGCCCTGAACCCTGCTGAGCTCATTTATTGGGTATAATAGTTGTGTGTGTCTGTGTGTGTGTGTGTGTGTGTGAGTGTGTGTCCCTTAGGATTTCCTACATACAAGATGAGGTTTTCTGTAAATAAAGATACTTTTGCCTAGTTTTTTCCTGCCTGGGTGCTGTTTATATCATTTTCTTGTCATATTACTCTGGCTATAGCTTCAGTAAAATGTTGCATAGAAGTGGTGGGTGTGAACATCCTTTTCGTGTTCCTGATCTTAGGGGGAAACGTTCAGGTTTGCACAGTTGCATATAGTGTTCACTGTGGGTAGATGCCCTTTATCAGGCTGAGAAAAGTTTCTTCTGTTCCTCCCTGTGCAAAACTAAAGCTGAGAAGCCTGTGTGTGGTGGAAGAACATTGGATTCTTCTTCACTCTGTGCCCAGAGAAGGAGGGCGCACCTCAACCTGTGCTGGGCCACACCCTCTCGGGTCCCTGAAGCAGCACAGTTTCCAGTGTTGTCCTACAGAGTATCTCAGGGACACAGCTCATTCTAGTCTAACTTCCCCCTCTCCCCGCTTGACCACCACTCTGAGGCCTAGATGGGCACAGAGACCACCCATTATAACCCTTCCTAAGCACAGAGGGCAAGATCTCCTTCTCTGCCAAACATATCCTCCCATGGGGAAGAAGCAGGAGTCCACAATTCCAACCAAGACAGACTGAATCCCACTGAGACGCAGCTGGGGCTCCCTGTGTACTAATGAGAGATCCTCACCCATTCACTCATTCATTCACTCGTCTTCATTCATTCATACACACTGCTAGTGGTTCCTTCATTAATCAGTTCAACAACTGTTTCTGGAATGCGAGCTGGGCCTGGCACATAGTTACAGCAGTGTGAGAAATAAGCTATCAGGGAGGGAGGGGAAGGACAGTTTACCAATGAGAGAGAGGCTGGAGAAAAGAGTCAGTGAGACCAAGGCTGAGGGTTGTAGAATTTATTTAGTGCTGCACTCAGATCCATTTTGGATTTCCATAGATACATGTGATCATTTGGGTTGCAGGACATCCATCTGCAAATGCCACGGAGCTCCTGGTAGGCACAGGAAAGAAGGGTTGGCTGTCTCCCATGGAATTATCAAGAAGGGGAATTCCAGGCTCTTGCTTGGCATGAGGGCCGCCCCCAGTGCAGTCTGGCTCAGACATATGGGGGCATGTGGGAAGGATTGGCAAAAGTCCCCAGGGCATGTGATACCCTTAAAGGGAATGGGCAGGGAGTAGTTCATTTCACTTCTTCAAAGGCTGGAATAAGACGACCTGAGCCAAGGGACTCATTGTTCTGGTCCAGAACAGGATGTGCTTCAAGGGTAGTCACTCGTTGGGAAGCACAGATCTTCAGGAGCTACCTGAGGTTTCCCACTAGAGCCTCAGATCTTGCACTGGCAGCACACGGGGACACAGCAGCTGGACTGGGAGCAGCAGGGCTTGCAGCAGCTGGACTGGCAGCAGGATGACCCACAGCCTGAGGAGGAGCAGCAGGGCTTACAGCAGCTGGACTGGGAGCAACATGGCTTACAGCAGCTGGGCTGGCAGCAGGATGACCCACAGCCTGAGGTGGAACAGCAGGGCTTGCAGCAACTGCACTGGGAGCAGCCACAAGGACCACATCCCCCCTTAGAGCCACCACAAGAGCCACAGGCACAGACTCCCTTGGAGACCCCACAAGAGCCACAGCCCCCCTTGGAGCCCCCACAGGACCCACAGCCCCCCTTGGAACCCCCACAGGAGCCACAGCCCCCCTTGGAGCCCCCACAGGAGCCACAGCTGGAGCAGGAACAGGCTGGGACACAGCAGCACACAGGCTTGCAGTAGCAGACGGGCACACAGCAGCTGGAGCCACAGCCCCCACAGCCAGAGCCACAGCCCCCACAGCCGGAGCCACAGCCTCCACAGCCGGAGCCACAGCCTCCGGAGCAGCCACAGCAGCCCATGGTTCTGGTGGATTGAGGGTGGAGCAGGTAGATGAGGAGGTGAGAGAGAAGTGCAGGTGTGGAGTCCCCTGGGCCTGGGCTCTTTATATATCTGTCTAGGGGTCATGGGGTGCACATGGTCCCTTCCTGGTTCTTACTGATATTCTCTCCTTAGGGAACTTGTGTGTCATTTAGAATAAAAATACTGTGTTGCCTCATGACACACTTCCCCCTCCTGCATTGTTTTCCTCTCTACAGCCTCTGGGCGCAAGTCCTGCCCTCCCACACCCCCCAGGATTGAGTGGAGCCTCCTCTGTTCCTGCCTCTGCCCTCAGACCACAGCCTTCTATCGCTGTTCCAGAAGGATTCGCCTTACCGGTGTTTTAAATGGTTTATTTGTCTGTGTTTCTATCCATGCATACACTCTGGGCTCTTCTAGTACAGGAGTGAAATTCAGCACGGCCAAGGTCTTGTTCTCCATCAGGTCTGGGGGCAGGAGGCTGCTGGACAGTGTCTCTGTCCCTCCTGCCATTCTGGAGAGCCCAGCTCCCCCAGGCTCCGGTCTGCCTGTCAGTCCCTGACTGTGCTGGCTTCTTCTTCCCTTCGGGGAGTCAGCAGCTGGACTGGCAGCAGGATGACCCACAACCTGGGGAGCAGCAAGAGGGCTTACAGCAACTGCACTGGGAGCAGCCACAAGGACGACAGCCCCCCTTAGAGCCACCACAGGAGTCACAACTCCCCTTGGAGCCCCCACAGGAGCCACAGACCCCTTTGTAGCTCCCACATCCTGTCTCTGTGGCAGGTTGGTGACCTGCTGTGTTCATCACACATCTCGATTTTGAGAGGCATGGCTTCCTTTGAGATGTGTGTGTTCCTTTTCTCTTCTGTAATACAACTTCAAATGTGTGTGAGTGTGTGTCTATGTGAGTGTGTGTGTGTGCGTGTGTGTGTGAGACAATGGAGATTCCGCTCTGACTCAAACATAGAAAGTCACCAGAGACCATTGCTCTCATCACATCAATAAAAATGAGCCAGATAAACTCAAAAGAATCCACGAGGGCACAGAGTTTTACAACCCACTGGAGGCGAGGACACAGAGAAACTCCAAGGAACTGAGCTCCGGGGAGTGCTGAGCCCTTCCCGGGAGAGACGAGGCCCTGGCTGCTGCCAGGCCTGCGGGGATGGGAAGGTGCAGACTGCACCAGGGCAGGGAGAGGCCTGCTGGACATCAGAGGAAATGCGAAGCCATGCCCGAGGGCTGGTGTGTCAGACAAGAATCCCAGCTTCCCAGAGTCCAGGTCCACGACCACATACCACCTCCTCCCAGGGTTCTCTTTGGAGGGTTTGGGCAGGAACTCCCTAATGCCCAGGCAGGGAGGACAGTGGGTCTGAGACCCCGGAGGTCGTGAGGTTCCTGCCGGGTACGGAACCAGGTGCTGCCCTCTAGAAATGAGCGGGGCAGGAGAGCTGAGGACCTCTCCACAAGGCATCCAGTCGCTCACCCAGGAAAGCCGGACAGGAAGGAGAGCTGGGAGGAGCCACAAGTGTTCCACGCCTTTAGGGAGCACTGAGAAAGATCAGGGTTGCAGGAAGCAGGGGCAGAAAAGTGAAGGAGAGAAAAGGGAATTCGCAGCACCCCATCGCCTGGTGGGGACAGAGCCCTGCGGAGCACAGGAGGTGAGAACAGTGCCCTGAAGGGAAGAGAAAACAGGGGCAGAAGGCTGGGGTCAGAGGGCGGGGCAGAAACAGACCAGGTTCCACTCATTCCTGGGAGTCCACGGAGGGGAGGACTTGGACCCTGAGGATTTAGAGCGGAAAACCACGTAGGAAGAGGAAGTGTGTCACAAGGAAACACAGTATTTTTGTTATTTTAAATGACACACAAGTTTCCTGGGAAAGAATTTTAGGAGGAACAAGGAAGGACCCCTGTGACCCACCTGACCCCTAGACAGGTGTATAAAGAGCCCAGCCTTGGGGGCTCCACACCTGTACCTCCCTCTCACCTGTTCCTCTACCTGCTCCACCCTCAATCCACCAGAACCATGGGCTGCTGTGGCTGCTCTGGAGGCTGTGGCTCCGGCTGTGGGGGCTGTGGTTCCGGCTGTGGGGGCTGTGGCTCCGGCTGTGGGGGCTGTGGCTCCGGCTGTGGGGGCTGTGGTTCCGGCTGTGGGGGCTGTGGCTCCGGCTGTGGGGGCTGTGGCTCCGGCTGTGGGGGCTGTGGCTCCAGTTGTGGGGGCTGTGGCTCCAGCTGCTGTGTGCCCGTCTGCTGCTGCAAGCCTGTGTGCTGCTGTGTCCCAGCCTGTTCCTGCTCCAGCTGTGGCTCCTGTGGGGGCTCCAAGGGGGGCTGTGGCTCTTGTGGGGGCTCCAAGGGAGGCTGTTGCTGTGGCTCTAGTGTTGGCTCTAAGGGAGGCTGTGGTTCTTGTGGATGTTCCCAGTGTAGTTGCTGTAAGCCCTGCTGCTGCCAGTCCATCTGCTGCAAGCCCTGCTGCTCCTCAGGCTGTGGGTCACCCTGCTGCCAGTCCAGCTGCTGTAAACCCTGCTGCTCCTCAGGCTGTGGGTCATCCTGCTGCCAGTCCAGCTGCTGTGTCCCAGCTGCTGTGCTGCCAGTGCAAGATCTGAGGCTCTAGTGGGAAACCTCAGGTAGCTCCTGAAGATCTGCTCTTCCCAACAAGTGAGTATCCCTCAAGCACATCCTGTTCTGGAGCAGAGCAATGAGTCCCCTGGCTCAGGGCTTCTTTTTCCAGCCCTTGAGGAAGTGGAATGAACCACTCCCTGCCCATTCACTGTAAGGGTATCACATGCCCCTTGTACTTTGGACCCTCCTTCCTACATGCCCCCATATGTCTGAGCCAGACTGCACTGGGGGCATCCCTCATGCCAAGCAAGAGCCTGGAATTCCCCTTCTTGATAATTCCATGGGAGACAGCAAACTTTTCTTTCCTGTGTCTCCCAGGAGCTCCATTTACAGATGGATGTCCTGCAACCCAAATGATCACATGTATCTGTAGAAATCCAAAATGCACCTGGGTGCAGCACTAAATAAATTATCCACCCTCAGCCTTGGTCTCACTGACTCTTTTCTTTCAGCCTCTGTCTCATTGCTAAACTGGTCACATGTGCTTCCCCTCCCTCCCTGATGGCTTACTACTGCCACCACTGTGACAGTGTGCCAGGCCCAGCTCGCATTCCAGAAACAGTTGTTGAACTGATTAATGAAGGAGTCACTAGCAGTGTGTATGAATGAATGAAGACGAGTGAATGAATGAGTGAGTGAGTGAGTATCTCTCATTAGTACACAGGGAGCCCCAGCTGTGTCTCAGTGGGATTCAGTCTGTTTTGGCTGGAATTGTGGACTCCTCCTTCTTCCCCGTGGGAGGATATGTTTGGGGCAGAAGGAGATTGGCCCTTGGTCCCTAGGAAGGGTTATAATGGGTGGTCTCTGTTCCCATCCAGGACCCAGAGCAGGGGTCAAGCCTGTAGAGGGGGAAGGGAGACTAGAATGAGCTGTGTCCCTGAGATGCTCTGTAGGACAACACTGAAAACTGTGCTGCTTCAGGGACCCAAGACGGTATGGTTGAACACAGGCTGAGGTGCACCCTCCATGTCTGGGCTCAGAGGATGAAGAATTCAAGTGTTCTCCAACCACTCAAAGGCTTCCCAGCTTTGGGTTGGCACAGGGAGGAACAGAAGGGAATTTTCTCAGCCTGATAAAGGGCATCTACCCACAGTGAACACTATATGTAACTGTGAAAACCTGGATGTTTTCTCCTAAGATCAGGAAAAAGAAAAGGATGTCCACACCCACCACTTCTATGCAACATTTCACTGAAGCTATAGCCAGAGTAATATGACAAGAAAGTGAAATAAAAGTCATCCAGTTTGGAAAAAACTAAGCAAAAGTATCTCTATTTACAGAAAACCACATCTTGTATGTAGAAAATTCTAAGGGAGACACACACACACACACACTCACACACACACACACACAACTATTATGCCCAATAAATGAGTTCAACAGAGTTCAGGGCACAAGTCCTATATACAAAAATCAGCTGTATTTCTACAATCACCAATGAGCAGTACAAACAGGATATAAGGGAACAATTCTGTAAAAAGAATAAAATTCCTAGGAATACCAACAACCAAAAAGTACAAGACTTGGACACTTAACACTACAAGACATCACTGGAAGAAGTTAAAGACGACCAAAGTAAATGGGGGAGAAATCCCATGTTCATATATTGGAAGACCTAATATTGTGAAGATTGAAACACTAAAAAAATTGATCTACCAATTCAATGCAATTACAGGAGAATTGCTTGAATGGGGGAGGTGGAGGTTGCAGTGAGCCGAGATTACACCACTGCACTCCAGCTTGGGCAATGGAGCAACACTCCATCTCAATGTGCCTAAATGGTTAACACCACTTGGAAGCTGCCAAGGCTTACGGTTTCCACCCTCTGAAGCAGTGGCCTGAGCTGTACCTGGGCCCCTCTGAGTGGCCTGGATGCAGGGAATAATGTCCCGAGGCTGCATAGGGGAGTGGGGCCCTAGGCCTGGATCCTCTACGCCTGATGAGAAGGGCCAAAGATCCCTGAAATACATTTGAAGCCTTTTTCTCATTGTCTTGGTTATCAGCACCTGCCTCCCTTTTATTCATGCAAACCTCTCTAGCAAGAGGTTGCTCCATAGCCTTCTTGAATTCCTCTCCTGATAATGCTTTTTCATGCTCTGTCACTTGGCCAGGTTGCAAGTTTTCCAAGCTTTTACATTTTGTGTCCTCTTTAAATATAAATTCCAGCTTTCAGTCATTTATTTGCTCCTGCATCTGAGTGTAGACAGTTAGAAGGAGCCAGGTCATGCCTTGAATGTTTTGCTGCTTAGAAATTACTTCCACCAGATACCCTAAATCATCACTCCTAAGTACAAATTTCCACAGATTCCTAGAGTATGAACACAATACAGCAATGCTCTTTGCCACAGCATAACAAGAGTGACCTTTGATCCAGTTCCCAATGAATTCTGCATTTCCATCTGAGACCTCATCAGCCTGGACTTCACTATCCTTACCACTGTTAGCATTTTGGACACAACCATTTAACCAGTCTCTAAGAAGTTCCAAACTTTCCCTCATCCTCCTATCTTCTTCTGAGCCTTTCAAACTCTTCCAGTCTCTGCCCATTACCCAGTTTCAAAGTCATTTCCACATTTTCAGGTGTCTTTATAGCAACACCTCACTCCTGGTACAATTTTCTGAGGCTGGATAATTCGTAAAGAAAAGGGGTTTAATGGGCTCATGGTTCTGCGGGCTGTACAAACATGGCATTAACATCTGCTTGGCTTCTGGTGAGGCCCTGGGTATGAAATAATCTGTACAACAAACCCCCATGATATGCGTTTACCAATATAACAAACCAGCACCTGTGCCCCTGAACTTAAAAGTTAAAAAAAGTTAAAGCAGTGGTTTGGGGTCTGGGCCACACTCTAATCCCCCAGACAGCTTTAAGCCACAACTTTAAGCCACAATGTTGCCCAGGCCCCACTCCAGGGATTCTCATTTATCTGGTTTGTGGCAACTTGGGTTTGGGAAATTCTAAATGCCACTCCCGCCCAGGTGATTTTACATGCAGCAGGGGTGAGAACAGTTGATTCCGGGTAATGAATGCATTCACTGTAGCTGGTTTCCATGCATACTGATGGGATTTGCCACATGGCTGCTCCTGAGTTTAGGGGCTTGAAAAATAGCTCTTCCCTGTTAAAAATCAAAGGACACCTCCAAGATGGACTCAGCTATTTGGATAAATTGCTGCAGAAAAAAAAAAAAAAAAAGCCTTCTCAGCAGATGTATCTTTAAGTCACTTGATTTCAGAGTAAGAAGTTGTTTCAGTCACAGTACTTTTAGTCAGTGTTGAAAATTATACACAGCCTACAAATACCAAACAGGCATGAAAGCATTTACAGACATATAGGATATATTCTGTTTTAAAATTGCTCCTCTGTTGTTGGACTTTGATTTCCTAAAGTCATCTATCAGCCATTTCCCCCACATTATTCCATGTCCTTCCAAGAAGCTTCTGCAATTTCTTGAGGTGATTGATTATTCCCAGTGATAAACAGCACCATGTGGACCCAAATCTAAAAGGAATTCTGCTTCTATTGCAGAAAGGTCACTCTCCAGAACCTCGCAGGCCTCGGGAAGCCGCATGAGCAATGTGGTCTATGCAGGAGTAAGGGCTGCAGAACCAGGCAGAGTTGATCCTGAGTACTAGCCCAGCTGCTTAGTAGCTGTGGGGCTTTGGACAAGGTTCTTGACTTGAAAGAGTCATACAAACCTCTTCTGCAAAAAAGGGTAGACTAATATTGATTGCAGAAACAGCAGCAATTCTTCATTCCTCTCTGTATCTATGCTTTTTACCGTGTGCTTTTACTGCCACTCCCATCAAGAGGCGGAATGTTTCCCAAACCTTGCATCCGGCTGGGACTATTTGCTCTGGTTATAGAAAACTGTTGTATTAGTTCGTTTTCACACTGCTGATAAAGACATTCCTAAACATGGGAACAAAAAGAGGTTTAACTGGACTTACAGTTCCACATGGCTGGGGAGGCCTCGGAATCCTGACGGGAGGCAAAATGCACTTCTCACACGGTGGCGGGAAGAGAATAAGAAGGAGGAAGCAAAAGTAGAAACCCTTGATAAACCCATCAGATCTCGTGAGACTTTTTCACTCACATGAGAACAGCATGAGAAAGACCCGCCCACATGATGCTATTACCCCCTTCCCCAGGTCCCTCCCACAACACGTGGGAATTCTAGGAGATATAATTCAAGTTGATATTTGGGTGGGGACACAGCCAGACCTTATCAACTGCGAACGTGACAGCTTTTGTGCTAGTTTTGGGTCTAGGCTCAAAAGGTCTTAAATGCTTCTGTTTTTCTCAGAACCTTGCTATCTTTATGAGATTAAGCCACGTTAGTCAGCTGGAGGATGACATACCATGGTGGGGAGAAGGAAGGTGCCACTGTTGATAGCCGTCTCATCCCCAGAAGCAGAGCCACCTAGTCAACCAGCAGCTGGCCATACATACATGAAGGAGTCCAGTTGTGACAAGAACAGCTCGGTTGAACTCAGCCTAAATGACTGATGAGCTCAATCATGAGCTATTAAGTTTTGGGTGGTTTGTTATGTAACAGGTAACTAATGCATGCTCCCAGGGCAGATAGGATGCCAGGATTCAGTGAAAGGTTGATTCCTAGTTACCTGCAAGAGAAAAGCACTTTATAGGTACTAATTTTCCCCCCTTATTTAAAGTTGGATCTTTTGTAAAATAATGTTCCGTCATACAGAAATGCATGTACACAGGTATATATGTGATTGGTGCTTTTACTCACACAGGCCCCCCTACCACAGGAAGAAACAGACAATCACAGTTCAGTCATTAGAGCTAAGGCCAAATAGCAAGATAAGTCTGCCTCTAGTCTGTTTACTCCATATCTAAATGTTGGAGGTCAAGGCTGTGGACAGATCTGAAGATGTGTTCTCTCCTCTTGGGTCGCCATTATTGGTGGGCAGCAGTCCTCTCCCCGTGGATATTTTCTTTTGCTGTCCCCTATGCTCTCTAGGATCACCATCTCGTCCACCCTTCGACCGGAGGAGAGATGTTTGTAGCAAGAGGCTGTTCCCTCACCTCTGGTTGAAAAGGGACGTTCAGACTCTCCACCCCCTGACATAAGGGAGGTTAGACCTCAGAGTTGCACTTTAATGTGGCAGCTATTGATCATGTGTGACTACTGAATATCTGGAATACAGCTGGTCTGAACTGAAATGTGCTGAAAAGGTAAAACACAGAGTGAGCTTCAAAGATTTAGTACCCCAAAATATATGCTTCCTTACCAATTATATATTGACCATATAGGAAAATGGTTACATACTGAGTTAAATTATTACAATCAACTTCACCTGTTTCTTAGTACATTTTAAAATGTGGCTACTAGAAAATTTAAGATTCACACGTGGCTCACATTTTAATTCTTAGAGGCTTGACTCCTTTTTGAAATTTCAGGCTCTCTGTTCAAAGGACCAAAAGCCAAGAAGGCCATAAAATATAAAAATTCAACATGAATATCATTATTTTATTTCCATTGGTGAATAACATATACTTATTATTTATAAATGAACATAAGCACAGTCACATGTGAAATGTAAATATCCTCTAGGTGGGGCCGGACCGCGCGGGTAGGAAGCCCTGCCCCCAAAAAACCGCGGCCAGCACCTGTCCTTGCTGTCTCATTCGGCCCATTGTCTGATTACAGCTCCTGTCACTCAGGGCCTGAGGGGCGGGGCGTGAGACCCTATCCAATCAGAGGAGCAGGGTCGGGGACTGTCCAATCAGGCACGCGTCTGGAGAGGAGAGGCCGGCTTCCGGAATCTGGCGGGGCCTTTGTCCAGACAGAGTTCCACTTCCTGTCCCCGCCGCTCTGCGTCCTCTGCTAGCCGTTGGCCGTGTGACCCGACCCGCAGGCACCGGGAGATCCAGAAGTGAAACGTCAGGCTCCCTGGAGACCAAGAGATGGTGAGGGTAGGGGCCAGGCCTCCTGAGAGACAGGCAGGGACGGGCTGGAACCCGCGGTACCGGCTGGGGAGGAACCGGGCTGCCCGGGTGGGTTCCGGGCTCCGCGAACCCGAGGCCCTTCCAGCTGCACCATGGCGGCCGGGCCCCGCGCGCCTCGGCGCATCCCTGCAGAGCGGCTTTGGCCCAAGCCCAGAGCCGTCTCCCCGCGGCTGCTCTTCGCCCGCAGACCCGCGTCTCCCCGAGTTAGGAAGGGAGAATCCCGACTCCGCGGGTGGTTTGTGCATAAGAGGATGATCTGTAGCCCGTGGGGGCCCCAGTCCCTCCTGTCTCCCGAGGGAGTCCTTGCAAAAATGTGAAACAGTTTTATTTGAGCAAAGAGTGATTCATGAATGGCAGAGGACCCAACCATGTTTTTTTGGTTTGGCAGTCCCACCAGCAGGCCTTGAAGGAAAGGCTTTTATCAGGTGCATGAGGAAGCAAACCACATTCATTAATTAGTTTGGTACAGTTACGTCATCTCCTGATTTGAGCTATCTAGGTTGAAATTTTCTGGTCCTGTAATCAGAGAGTAATTAGAGATTTGTGGTTGATGAATCCTGAATTTTGTTTCTGCAAGATAGTCATTTGCAAGAAACGCATTTAATTTTTTTTTTTTAACATAAGAATCCAGGGCACTAAAGCCACCTCAGTCGGATTGCCTGCTATTTAATTATTATTATTATCATTTTTGAGACAGAGTCTCGCTCTGTCGCCCAGGCTGGAGTGCAGTGGCGCGATCTCGGCTCACTGCAACTTCCGCCTCCGGGTTCAAGTGATTCTCCTGCCTCAGCCTCCCGAGTAGCTGGGATTACAGGCGTGCGCCACCACGCCCGGCTAATTTTTGTATTTTTATTGGAGACAGGGTTTCACCATGTGGGCCAGACTGGTCTCGAACTCTTGACTTCAGGTGATCCACCTGCCTCAGCCTCCCAAAGGGCTGGGATTACAGGTGTGAGCCACTCCGCTGGCCTAGTTAATTATTTTTAACACTCCAGGGAAAACTGGTTTCTCCGCTGCATTTTCCAAATGCATTTCAAGCAGGGTCTCAAAAACACCACCATGTTCTTCAGGCCTAACTCTAGCCTGTAGTAAAATTACTAAATTTCCTGTACCTTCCAGATTCTCCCAAATGCTAACTTCCCCTTTCTAATTCACAACATTATTAACTATTCATCCTTGGCTGTAATGTTAGGCACAGTATTGTAATGAATCATTTTTTCACAATGCATTGGATGGCATTTTTTTTTTCTTTTTCTTTTTTTTGAGACGGAGTCTTGCTCTATCGCCCAGGCTGGAGTGCAGTGGTGTGTTCTCTGCTCACTGCAAACTCTGCCTCCCAGGTTCAAGCAATTCTTCTGCCTCAGCCTCCCAAGTAGCTGGGATTACAGTCCTGCACCACCACACCTGGCTAATTTTTATATTTTTAGTAGAGATGGGGTTTCACCATGTTGGCCAAGCTGGTCTTGGACTCCTGACCTCATGTGATCCACCCACCTCAGCCTCCCAAAGTCCTGGGATTACAGTCGTGAGCCACTGCGCCCAGCCTGGACGGCACTTTTTAAGAGATTTGTTTTCTGTTTGTAATCATTCCACACGACAGGAAAGCAGAGAATCATCCTCTGACACTATTGTAAAAAATCTTTGTGCCTCTCCTCCTTTTTACTTTCCCTAGGCACAGACGCCTTACCAGAATGTCTTTGGTTTGAGGTTCCACTTTGGAAACTTGACAGGGTGATTTGCTCTCAGCCACCCTCTGGACTTTTTCCTCAGTTTCAGTATTGTCTAGGGATAACACAGGATGCCCACCATGGCCGTGTCTGCTGCAGCATCTAGTGAATTTCAGGCCCTGGGTTATTTCTCAAAGGACAGCCTGAGGTATGAAGTGTGGCCTCTCCAGGGAGCAGCTGGATGCCCTGGGCTGAGAGAAATCTCCTGGTCCACTCTTCCTCTAACACTTAGGACGTTAAGATTGTCTTCACCCAACCCAATTTTCAATCCTTGAAGATACATGGCTGATCAGCCAATCAGATGCTGCTGTCAGAGGGAAAAGACCGAAATCATTTCTGCCCTTTGGACTCTCAGATTTGTGAAGGGAGACAGAGTGTTTCAAAGGACAAGAAAACCCCACCTCCATGAGATGGTGCAAAAACCTGTGAAGCAAAATTCACCTGGGACACTCAGTGGGGCACAGTGCAGTGTATCATGGGGGGTGGCCAGTGAGCACTTCGGTGAACAGGATGGAGGTGGGAGAATCTCCCAAGGAATAGAATAGCCTGACTTAACACAAGTCTTTAGCTGTGTCTGTGTTCCAGTCAGCACTGCCACTCTCTGCATCTCCTTGAAATAATTTGTTCACTTACTGCAACTTTGGTTTTGTAATTATAAATTTACATTTTATCAGTAGCACTTGAAAGGTAAGAAAATACTTACAAAGGACGTGAAATAGGTCAATTTCAGGAAAAAGGTTAAATATCTAGTCATACATACCTTTTTCTTCTCCTGATTAAGGGTAGAAAGTTACTTAGGTCTGTTCTTTTGTGGAAGACGATTTCCAACAGAATCCCAGGGCTTAGCTTTGGGAATGCTACCAGAGAAAATAAAATGCTTCTTGGATGGCTGTGGAGAATGTTTACATTTTCTACAAAAAAATTATGGTAGATTACTTGGTAAATTACATAGGTTCATCAGAACATGAGCTCCTCTTTTTGCAGGATGAATTTGCTATTATGAATATCTGTTTTATATCCTGTTCTCTACATGTCTGAGCTTAATGCTAACTTGTGGGAGACGGAACTTAGCACTTCTAAAAGTGTTCACATATGACTGCTTACTATGTGATTTGTTATGGAAAGAGTTAAACAACAAGTTTATTGTCTGAAAGCAATAAATAATTCTGCTTTTTCTGTGGAGGTGAAAGCGTAAGTGCCTTACAGTTTCCTTTTCTTCTGTAAATGCTGTTTGAGTGATTTTGTTGGATATTTCCAACAATGGGTATTACTTAAAACTAAGTGGATAGCCCTGATTGGGAAATTGAAGCCCAGGGACAGTCATTCCAAGCTAAGGCCAATATTCAGCCTGCAAAAGAAAGCAATTGAAGGCCTGGCTCAAGCTTGTCCAACCAACCCACAGGCCTGGGCCACATGCTGTCCTGGGCTTTGAATGTGGTCCAACACAAATCAGTAAACTTTCTTAAAACATTATGGTATGTTTTTGTGATTTTTTTTTTTTTCAGTTCATCAGCTATCGTTAGTGTTAGTGTATTTTATGTGTGGCCCAAGACAGTTCTTCCAATGTGGCCCAGGGAAGCCAAGATTGGACGCCCCTGGCCTAGCTAGTGCTTCCCGAGGAGCCTCCCCTGCAGGTGCCCCAGCCTGCTCGCAACAGCCATGGAAGGAGAGACGCTGCAGAGCCTGGGAGCACTGGGGACCCACAGGCAGATGCAGTTAGAGTTGGGATGTAAGGGATTTGGGGAGGTCTTCCTGGGTATGGAATCGTTATTATCCTGGGGCTGTTTCTAGACTTCGTCAAATAAATTTAGCTTTAGGTAGGAAGTTACCGAACTCTAAAGGAGGATTGCAACAGGGAGAAGGTGGCAACTATCATACCTTTGAGGATCTTAAAAGTTAGGTAGACACGGGCTTTTTTGTGTTTTTATAGGGAGGAGGGAAGACAGGATAGAGGGTGGGAAAACCAGATTCTAGATCCCAGAATGTTTTACTCTGAAATCTGTGTGTTCTTAGGAGGGGCAAGAAGGAGGGGTTGTATGCTGGCTCAGACTGAGGGTAGTTCAAAATTCAGGGGCTTGAGGGAAGGAGAGAAATTTTAGCAAGTTTTGATAGAGAAGTGTTTTGACCACTGAAGACAGAATTGTTCAGCTGTTTATGAGGAAAAAATGGGGATTTTCAAGAGTCTGTATCTGGTACTGTGGTAGGTAACAAAGTGAGTGTCGTCTGGGTCATATTATAAAGGGGTTTCTCTTCATTCAGCTGCTCCTGGAGAACACAAAGAGGGAGCAATTCTGCTGCTCAGGCCTTTTGACCAGAATCTCTTCCTTCCCCACCCTTTCCCTGGCTTTGTGCGGCTGTTCCGTTTGGCCGTTGCTGATATGTATCTTTTATAGTAAACCAGTAAATATAAGTACAGTGTTTTGCTGAGTTCTTTGAGTAGTTTTATCAAATTACTGAACTTGACAGGAGGTTATGGGAGTACCCAGTTTATAGGCAATAGACATCAAAAATATAAATATTAGAAGTATAAATGGGTGCCCAAGGCTTGTGACTGGCATCTGTAGTGGAGCAGTGTTGTGGGACTGAGCCCTGAACTTTTGGGGTCTGGGCTGGCTCTAAGTGGTGTCAGAATTAAAATATTAGACACTTAGCCGGGCACAGTGGCTCATACCTGTAATCCCAGCACGCTGGGAGGCCGAGGCAGGTGGATCACTTGAGGCCAGGAGTTGGAGACCAGCCTGGCCAACATGGTGAAACCTCATCTCTACTAAAAATTACATCACCGGGCATAGTGGCACATATGTGTAATCCCAGCTACTCACATCTATAATCCCAGCTACCCAGGAGGCTGAGACATGAGAATCACTTGAGCCTAGGAGGTGGAGGTTGCAGTGAGCCAAGATCACAACACCACACTCCAGCCTGGGCGACAGAGCAAGACTGTCTCAAAAAAGAAAAGAAAAAGTTAGACACTCAGTTGGTGTTGAAGAATTGCTTGGTGTTTAGCAAACACCACACATTTGGAGTCCAAAGAAAGACATCACAGGGGCCCGGGCTGGAGGGAGACTCTGGATGTCTGGGGAAGCGAGGCTGTGTTCAGCACACAGGCTGTCGCATGGCACGTTGTCCTGTGATTCCAGGTCCCTGAGGGTGAGAGGGAACTGAGAACTTAGAGGGAAAAGTTCTTAGAACTGACACCCTCCTCCCCAGCTGTCATCACATGATTCCCACCCACTTAGGAACATGGACTTGCCGTGCCCCTTCGAAGAGTAGGCATCCCCTTCCAGAATTCACTGCAGCACCTTTGGTTTTAGAATTCCTCACCCAAAACCCACACACGTGCCTTCAGGACTCCTGGTGTATCCTCACCCCCAGAAATGGAATCTGCAGCACCAGCTTCTGCCACCAACCCATGCCCCTGGATCACCCAGTTGTACTCTCTTCCGCCTGCAGCACAAAGGGCTCAGTCAGATCATAGCCCCACCTGGGCCGCTGTCTGTCAGTTCATAGCCCCACCTGGGCCGCTGTCTGTCGGTTCATAGCCCCACCTGGGCCGCTGTCTGTCGGTTCATAGCCCCACCTGGGCCGCTGTCTGTCGGTTCATAGCCCCACCTGGGCCGCTGTCTGTCGGTTCATAGCCCCACCTGGGCCGCTGTCTGTCGGTTCATAGCCCCACCTGGGCCGTTGTCTGTCGGTTCATAGCCACACCTGGGCCACTGTCTGTAGCACAACCAGTTTTGCTGCCAACTTTGCACTCTCTATCTCCTGTGGATTCTTGAGAGCACCTTTCTCTCCTGATTTTTTTTGCCCACAAACCACTTTTATGTGTACATGGTGTGCCCAAGGCCACCCCTTCGGTGCCTGAATCCAGTGCCTGCTGTAATTAACATGTTCAGAATTTCAGGTCCATGGCCCTAGACTTGGCTCTTGCAGGAACAAATACAAATTAGAAATAAGAGGCTTAATTCTCTCACTTGAAAATAAGGAGAAATATTTTTTTCTTTTCCCAATTCTGAAAGGATTTACTTTAGGACACTTTAAGATGCAAATGTTTTCTCTGCTTTTTTGAAATATATGTAAGTCATTTAAACAGCTAAATAAGTCTTTTGTCATTCTTTTTAATTCAGGATTATCTTTATTTAGGACCTGAGAACCATTGCTTAGTTTTTGTTTTTAATTTGGCAAATATTTATTTTTTTCCATTTTCAGTCTTCTAAAGTAGACACAGATTTGCTCAGAAGGAAGCTGATTTTAAGAGTACACAGCATAGGACTAAGCTCAGCGATACGGAGGGATGAAGGGTAAAGGATGCCAAGTGCCTTTGACAGAAAGCCAGTCATCCGAGGGGATTGCTTCAGGTCTGGAGGCTAAAGGACACACACTGCAAAGCAAGGACAGCTCAGTGTGTCAGCTAGACCGTGGGGTTTGCGGCCATACCTTGCATTCTATTTCTTTCTTAGGAACAACTAGCATAGTTATGTGTCGTTTTTAGTAAACAACTTGCATCCACTTAAATTAAACAGTATTTTCTACAATAATGTGATATAAAGGAACAGTATTTATTTTAGAAAAACCTCTTAAACAGTAATTTTAATACCAATGTTATTCATTCTTTTGAAATATGATGTGTTTTAACTGAATTAAAATTATGGAGAATTTTTAAATACAACATACATCATGACCAGTATATTAAAGTTATTCATACTGAGATACTTATATTTAATATCCAAAGAAAGTTCGCTCCCAAATTTTTCCATTTTCTACTCAGAATCAGCCTGCATCTCTCCCACCCGGGTGGCCATCGAGGGCCTCCGTGCAGGGTCACCAGGAACTCTCTCACCAGCGCCTGGAGTCTTTTGGACATTCGGGAGTGCACTGTGCAGACGGGGCTCAGGCTGACAAAACGGTCTATCTGTGCTTCTTTCATAGAAAAAGAGAAACGAGTCACCCAGGGTTTGTTCCTCCCCTCAGAGAAGAAACCTCGTTGGTATCCACATGGGAATTCCTCCAGTTTTCTGGTACTTGAGTAAAAAACAAAAATGAGATCTGGAGATTCAAACTGATAAACTAACTGATTCCATCTTGTGTAGCCATTAGGAAAACAGAAGGCAACCATGGTCCCTACAAGCCAGAAACTTTCCATTTCCAGTAACTGGATAAATCAGTGAATTCAGCATCTTGGGGTTAGCACGAAGAAGGGAGTGGTCAAAGGGACTTTGGCTTCATTTGGGCCATTTTCCTGATGTGGTCGTTGTGAGTTCTGATGTCGCGTTGAAGGGATATTCGGATAGAAAAAGTGGTGGTGGTATTATTTCTGTTGCTTTTGCCCTGCTAAAAATAAATATTTAGCTTCTACCATATACATCCTAGAAAACCCTAAAGGTTTGGTTAAATTCCTTGTTATTTCATGTTATAAAATAGAGAACTGGCTAACATAGATTAAAATTATACAAACCCTGGGATTTAAATTTTGGGGGGGCAGTTTTAGGAAAAACAGAATTGTAAATATTCTAGTAGCACAGAGAGCAGAATCCTGCGTGCGGCCCTCTCCCTGCCCAGACATGCCCACACTCCCCTCCTCTGAGCCTCATCCAGGTCTGGCCTCACCCTGGACTCTGCTCCAACAGTTAACTACAGAGTTAAATCAGAGTTCGGGGTTTAACTACAGAGGTAAATCAGAGTTTGGGGTTTAACTACGGAGTTAAATCAGAGTTTGGGGTTTAACTACAGAGGTAAATCAGAGTTTGGGGTTTAACTACACAGTTAAATCAGAGTTTGGAGTTTATAGAGTTAAATCAGAGTTTGGGGTTTAACTACAGAGTTAAATCAGAGTTTGGAGTTTAACTACAGAGTCAAATCAGAGTTTGGAGTTTAACTACAGAGTCAAATCAGAGTTTGGGGTTTAACTACGGAGTCAAATCAGAGTTTGGGGTTTAACTACGGAGTTAAATCAGAGTTTGGGGTTTAACTACGGAGTTAAATCAGAGTTTGGGGTTTAACTACGGAGTTAAATCAGAGTTTGACTCCTGCTGCCTCTCTAGAACTAATACACAGAATTTTCTGAAACCCCAAAGCAGATAAATGGAATAAAAGAACTCTCTATTTTGGGGCCTTAATTTTTTTTCTTTTTTACTAACACCAGTGCTTTTAGAGACATCGCATCCAGCAACCTGTTTCTCAGTCCTGTGGGTCTAATAGTTGCTTCACAAGCCACAAGAAAGTGAGGATAAACGCAACAATGGAAAGTACCTCCGCACTGTACTTCATCCTCTCTGTATCCCTTCCATCGGTCTGTATGGAGCTTTTATCATTACACTTTTAAAAAGTTAGTGATAGGAAAATAGAAGAACTACAAAGCCTGGGCCCTTCGTCTATATCTTGAGAGTTGTGGGACACTTGGTTCTATCACCCAGGGTGTGATGAGGATTGGCTCACATGACGTGAGGTGCCCAGCACAGTGCTGTCGCATACTTCTGAGCACACGGTGCCTGCTTAATAAACGCTGCATTCATATGTGTGTACACATTGTTTTCCAAATGCAGACAGACTCAGACATTGCTTGCTTCTCCAGCCCTGGAAAACTTTCAAGAGCCAGAAAATAATATAATCTTTCAGAATGGAGATTGACTGTCTCCATTTGCACCACAAGAACTTGTGTTGTGGTAGAAGGGTTGGGTGTAAGGGACTGTGCTGGGGCTGCTTTGTTTAGCTGAGTGTTGATGATCACAAGTCTTGGGGGAGCAGCATCACCATTAGTGGCAGAACTGTTAAAAAAAATCCAGCCCATGAACCCCTTTGAAATCTTCAGGATCACTTGACTCAGAGTGGGGCCAAAATTACCAGAAGATTCATATGCACATTGCAGCTTGAGAAGCAAGGCTTAGCTAAATGGTTCTCAACCTGGCTTCTAATTAAATCACATGGACAACTCAAGAAAAGGCCCTCACCATTGCCTTCCCCACAGATTCTGCCTATTGGTTTGGGTGGAAGCACCAGTGCTGTTTAAATCACATGCCTCATGGGATTCTAAGGTGTGGCCAGAATCAGTGATGGGGGATTTCAGATGCATTTGTACGAGTTGAGTTCAGCCTTGGTTCCAAAGGGAGGTCACAGGGCCTTCTTTGCCCAGGTTTCAGAGGCCGGCTCGGTGCAGTTTATGCTCCAGTTGCCAAAGCAGAATTGCTTTTGTTTAGCAGGGGAGGGAACCTGAGAGCCGGAAGAGAGAAAGTCACATTTTGATCTCCATGTAGAAGTTTACTGTTGCTGAATCTCTTTTATAAAGAACAGAAAAGCGTGGACTTTTTCTGTATTTCTACGTCTTTCCGTTAATGGGTGTGGTAGTCGCAGGTGAAGGGGTTGTGCTGACACCTTTAAAGGCATATTCTCATGATGCAGGTGTGATTTGTCCAGAGATCTTTCCTAAGAGGAAATCCCAGAGAAGCAGGAGAAAGAGAAAGAAATGGCTGGTGCTCAGGTAAATGCATCTCAGGTCAGGGGTTGTGTCCGCTTTTGCTCCTGAAATGTCATGTGTTTAGAATTTGGAAACCTTTACTTCTCTACTTGTGGTGTTTCTGCATAATAAGTTTGTTTCAGCTACTTTTTTTTTTCTTATAATAATGAAGGGTCTCTGAACATATTTTTCTGCATACCAAAGCCGTCTCTCTGTTTTCTTCACCTTGACTTCTTATATGCCATGAAGAATTCTCACCATGACTTTATGACCTGCAGTATTAAAAACGTTCACTTCGTGGCACTGAACGTGTGGATACCCAGGATTCCTCTCGAGGATGGGGTGCGGTTTTTGGATGTCAGCAAAGAAGGGAAACGTGCACTGTTTAGGTTTCATCTGGATGCTCCATTAGCTGCATGCAGAACAGGACTAAGAAAATAAACATTTAAACTCGATGACATTTATTGCCCAGAATAACTCAGAGCATTCTGGAAAAGAGAAAAATGAAAAGACACTTGCTTTTTAGAATGCTAAAGAAAGACTATTTTAATACACTATTAGAGATTACTGCTGGGCGCAGTGTCTCACGCCTATAATCCCAACACTTTGGGAGGCCTAGGCCTCCACTTGAGACCAGGAGTTCGAGACCAGCCTGGCCAACATGGTGAAACCCCATCTCTACTGAAAAAATACAAAAATTAGCCAAGCACGGTGGCACATGTGGATAGTTCCAGCTACTCCGGAGGCTGAGGGACGAGAATTGCCTGAACCAGGGAGGCAGAAGTAGCAGTGAGCTGAGATCACACCACTGCACTCCAGCCTGGGCTATAGAGTGAGACTCCGTCTCAAGACAAAAGAAGAGATTACAGAACCTGGGATATATTTGTCAGAACATAGGAGATATTTATTTGTCAGAACCTGGGACGTATTTGTCAGAACCTGGGTGTAGGGAGAACCCCTGAAACTACTGCTACAGAATAAAAGATGAAATGCTCCTAATTGTTGTAAATACAAAATTGCATGCAGGATTGTGTAGACAATGCCGGGTTGGGCTGCCAGAATGAACCAACAGCACGTGATGTGCTTCCCCCTGCAGAGAGCCTATGAACGGACGTGCAGTCAGAGAGGTTTCACATCACCAAGATTCCTATCCCAGAAAAGCAGAAGTTCATAGCTCTGGGAATGGAATGCTACCCTTGTGGAGAGCCTATAAACGGACACATGGGGGGCGCCTGTCCACATGGATAAGATAGGGCTATAAACGCCCTTATCTTGCCACGGCTCTTCTAGGTCTCTTTAGGGTAAAGGCATACTCCCTTCTGAGAATTTGTGGTCTAACCGTTTGTCTAGTTTCACGTCCTGCTTTCATTGATTGTTTGTAACCAGCTTTTGCTGCCATTGTTACTGCTGTTTAATATCTTGCTAATCATAGGTTATGGATAGACTGTGTTTGTGTTTTAAGGCTCTGTTAGAAATTGCTGATGCACACACACTATATCGTAAATTCTTATCTCTGTATACTGTACTTCTGCATACCAATGTTATGTTAAAGAATTACTTCATCCCCATGTGACCATCTCACTTCATAATCAAACGATCCTAAATCCCTCACTAACCTACCCCCGCCCTCACTAAACTTAATAACAAATGCTGGTATATCCAGTGCATTGGCAGCATCGCAGGACCAGAAGGTGGTGACCCCCCCTGGACCCAGCTTTCACTATCTTGTGTGTGTCTTTTATTTCTCGACCTGCTGATCCGCTTGGGAACAAAGAAAGAGCCCCGTTGCATTGCAGGCTGTTGGCCCATACCTGGGAGATATTTATTTGTCACTTGAACTTTGCATAACAGTAAGTTTCAGTATGATTCGATTCAGATTATAATTGACCTTTTGGCCAATATGACACCAGTAATATGTCCTTCTCTGTGCATTGGCACATGATAAAAATCTGTCCTATTACAGTTGATATTAGTTTTATTCAGTTGGTGAAAGATCTCTCTGACAGGTTTTTCCATTGTAGAGTTTATTTTTTTCTCTTTAAGTACCTTGAGGAGATTTACTAATTAGTGTGCATAAATAATCACATTTAATCTGAAAGGTCTTTGCTTCTTAGATTCTTTTTGCATATGCCTTGCTTTAGAAGATGAAGAATCTGATCTCTCTTTGTGGTTCAGAAAAACTGGGATAAACCCATGCTCTGCCACTTACAGGATTTTGACAAAATATTGTCCTTGGGCCCAAAGGACTGGCATCACTGGTGAGCGCATTAGAAATTCGGAAACTCAGGCCTGACCTCCGATTTCCTGAAGCAAAATCTGCACAAGAGCTCTAGTTTATTGGACACATTAAAATTGTAGAGACAGCTTCTAACTCACCATGACTTTTCCACCTGAGAAATATACACACTTTATTCATGTGACGTAAATGTAGCACTCAAAAATGGACATGCCTTTGTTGACGCCCTTAATTTTATATTTCATCATCCAGAAAAGTATTGTATGTACACTGCTTATGTGGATCTTAGGCAATTCTCTTTCCTCAGAGTTAGAGAATATTCTTGTGCTAAAAATTACCTTATTTTATAATTCCAGTCACTTGTGTAAGTTAGAACCAGTTCTCTTCACTCGCTCATTTCACCTTGAATCCAGTTAAGAACTCTGCCCAAAGCCACTTGGTAAGTATTTGTTGTTGTTGTTGTTTCTTCTTCAGACACTGTTGACGTTCAGGGATGTGGCCATAGAATTCTCCCTGGAGGAGTGGAAATGCCTGGACCCTGCTCAGCAGAATTTGTACAGGGATGTGATGTTGGAGAACTACAGAAACTTGTTCTCCATTGGTGAGGATAACTTCAATACGTAATTCCTCATATGCCCTAAAGAGTTCCTTTCGTTCCTTTGCGGAATGTTTTTCGGGAGTTTCTGCATTGCATGAATGAGTTTCAGATCCCTGCTTTTAAGAAAAACATGGGGAATTGTTGATGTTAAAAAAAAATCTTCAAAATGTGGTTCATTTTGACATAAACTTCCTTTTTTTTAACTGATTTGTATCTTTCACTCTAGTGATAATTCCAGAGATTCAGTGGCATGAAATATTGTAGCCCACACCTTAAAGTCAAATTTCCATCACCAGTGTTTTATTTCAGCAGTACTGAGTGGTGAAACTGAGAACCCACAGATTTACAATACTTACTGAATATTGTTTATGTCAGGAAGCATAATTTTTGGATTAATTTTCTAGAATCTTCTATAATGTTCACTCTACTAAGCACAGTACAAGGTTGGTAATTGGAGAATTTCAGCAAGAGTAATGTCACTTTTTTCTAATAAAACAGGTCTCACTGTCTCTAAGCCAGGCCTGATCACCTGCCTGGAGCAAAGAAAAGAGCCCTGGAATGTGAAGAGACAGGAGGCAGTAGACGGACATCCAGGTGGGTGGGTGTGAACGAAGCAGGTAACCCAGGTGAGAGGTCCAGAGGTCGAGGAGGAAGCCAGAGCCAGAGCTTAAGATGTGGTTTGGGAAGCTCTGCTCTAGTGGAGATGGTTTCTGAGAGCCTGGGTGTCTTTCTCTTGCTGTCCCCTAGGAGCGTCTTCTGTCTCGTTCTCTTAAATTTTCTACAGACTCCGCTTCCTGTTTAGTGATCTTCCTTTATAAAAGTTACAGTAAAAATCAGATCCTCCTCCTGACGAGTAAGGGCCTGTATGGTCTCATGTCTTGCTCTGCCACTGCTTTTGGGAACATGCATGTACCTGCCTATGTTTGAGGAACTCTGTTAAATGTTTTTTGATTTCCTTTTTGTATCATGTCTGAAGTGTGCAAGAGGCGTGGTGATGGTGTTTGGTTCAGAAATCCCAGAAGTCCCATAAACAGATGTTGTATGCTTTCTGCTTTATGATTTCGTATCTTACAGAGGTTTCAAGTGGGAGTCTACAGAAATGTATACTCAGCAGTTTTCTCCAAACACTAGGCATCTGCCCAAATATGAGATGATCTAATGTTGTTTTACTTCAAAATTTTATTTATTTTTTTTTTAGTGTGAACTGAGGTTGGTCATTTAAACTCTATATTCCCTAACTCCCAACTGTAATAGTTATAATATTATCATTTTATAATTTCTTCTTTTTTAGTATGAGGCTTATCAGGACTGTGTCATTCATATGTATGTACGTGTATGTGTATGTATATATGTGTGTGTATATATCATATATCAACATCCTTTTGAAATGATAGGATTTCACTTTTTATGCTGGAGTAATATTCTGTTGTCTATTTACATCATATTTTCTTTATCCATTCATATATACGCACACACATATATATACAGGTATGTCTATATGGGCATATGTGTAACAGATTATTTTAGAAATAAAAACTGTGTATATATTGTGTACAATGTAATAATTTGATATGTGTATACATTGTGAAATAATTAGTGCAATCACATTAAGGAACAAATCTATCACTTCACATAATTACCTTTTCTTGTAGTGAGAACAGTTAATGTCTACTGTTGGCAAATTTTAAGCTACAAAAGATTATTAATAGTATTCATAAAGCTACTCATTAGATTCCCCAAACTTACTCATCTTACAACTGAAAGTTTGTACCTTTTGAACAACAGCTCATTTTCCCCAACTCCAGGCCCTGGCAACTGCCATCGTCCTCTGCTCCTGTGAGTTCAGCCATGACAGATTCCACATCTGAGGGGGAACGTGCAGTCTCTGTCGTGGGGCCTGGCTGAGTTTATTTAGCATCATGTCCTTCAGGGTCATCCATGTTGTTGAATAACAGGATTTCATTCCTTTTTTATGGCTAATATTCTGTTGTCTATTTATATCACATTTTCTTTATCCATTCAGCATCCACAAACGTTTAGCTTGTCTTTATATCTTGACAATTGTGAATAATGCTGCAGTGAACATGAGGGAGCAGATAATTCTTCAAGCTGCTGCTTTTATTCCCTTCAGTTATTATATACACAGAAGTGGGATTTCTGCATTGTAGAGTAGGTTTATCTTTTTTTAATTTTTAAATAACGCCCCCCTCCTGGTTTTCATAATGACTCTACCAGTTGAGAACTCTGAGTGTTCAGAATTGTTTTTTCTTTACATCCTTGTCAACATTGTTGTTAGGTTGCTGCAAAAGTAAGAGTGTTTCTTACTATTTAGAAGGCAAAAACCACAATTACTTTTGCACAGCCCTGATATACTGCTTATTTTTTATATTAGCCATCCTAATATCCAAAAGTTTGATTGTTAATGGTCTTTGGCGTGCAGAAGCTTTTTAGCGTAATGCAGTCCCGCTTGTTGATACTTACTTTTGTTGCTGTACTTTTGGTGTCATATCTAAAAAATGATTGCCAAGACCAGTATCAAAGAGGTTTTTTTCTCAGAGTTTTTAAGGATACATGTTTTACATTGAAGGCTTGATTTCAAGTTGATTTTTGAGTATGGTGTAAGAAAAATTGTCTGTTTCATTATTTTGATTGTGGGTATTCTGTTTCCCCAGGACCAAGTGTTGAAGAGACTGTACTGTCTGTGTTGTGTATTCTTCGTGCACTTGCGAAAGATTAGTTAAGTGGATATGCATGAGTTTAATTCTGGGCTCTCCATTCTGTCCCATTGGTCTCTCTGGCAGTTTTCTTCTCTGTTCAGATACCATCCTGTTCTTACTACTGTAGTCTTAAAATGTCGCTTGAAATCAGAAAATATGATGTCTCTTGCCTTGTTCGTTTTCCTGTAGATTCCTTTGGCTATGCCAAGTCTATTGTAATTCCATATACATTTTAGAATTCTATTTTCATTACTGTGACAAAGGCCGCTGGAATTTGATAAGAAGTTTGTTGAATCTGTGGTCTTGGTCTTTAGCAGAATTGTACAGCCCCCTTCCTGGATTCCAAAGCTCTCTTAAAGGCATTTTTTTTGCGATGAGGTCTCTCTGTGTCACCAAGGCGGTTCTGAGCTTCTGCCCTGAAGTGAGCCTCTCACCCCAAGGTCCTGAACAGTTGGGATTGTAGGCGTGAGCTGCGGCGCCTGATTCTCTTGGAAAGGTGTTTCTGCACACAGAAGACTGACACGTTGTTGTTGTTGGGGGATATATAAGCCTGGTCCACCTATTTCACCATTTTTCTATGTCACTCTCCTGTACATTTTCACTTTCTCTTTTGCTCCATTTCAGATTTATCTCTAATTTCAAATTCTAATATGCAGAACAATATGCTAGAATTAACGTGTTATATCTGAATTAAATTATTTCGGAAGCACTATTTGTTTATTTATTTACTTATTTTGAGATGGAGTTTGGCTCTTGTTACCCAGGCTGGAGTACAATGGCACTATCTCGGCTCACTGCAACCTCCGCCTCCCAGGTTCAAGCGATTCTCCTGCCTCAGCCTCCCGAGTAGCTGGGATTTACACACAGGCATGTGCCACCACACCTGGCTAATTTTTTGTATTTTTAGTAGAGACGGGGTTTGTCCTTGTTAGTCAGGCTGGCCTCGAACTCCCGACCTCAGGTGATCTGCCCGCCTCGGCCTCCCAAAGTGTCGGGATTTACAGGCATGAGCCACCGCACCCGGCAAGCACTCCATATTTATTAAATTATCCTATTTCTTCAATCCGTATATAAATAGTAATATTATTTATTCCCAAATGTTTATATTATCAGTGACTCTCACTATACTTTACATAATTTATATTTTTCTTTCTTTAGAAATATAAAGCTATTCCTTGCTTTTAAAAGTTGGATGGCAGCATTTTAATTTTGCATAAGAATCGCATCAGTATAGTAAACATATAATAAAAATTATCTTTAGTATCTTCTTACTCATTAAAATGTTCTCAGTAGAGTCTTTTATTAATGATTGTAGTGCATTTTCTATGAAGTTTCACTGCTGTACACTGCATGCCAGTGATTCAAAATACCTGTTTTTCATGATTACACAGTCACAGTTAAATATTGTAGTTATCTAGGCAAATTCTTTTTTAATGGTACATCAGTGTTTCATAGCAGATTTTATGACTAACATCTTAGTGTTTTGTAACTCCGTATTACTGTTTTTATGGTTGAATAATATTCCTTGTATGCAGATGCCACATTTTTTGTGTGTGTTCATCACTTGAGGCTTCCCCCATTTGACTTTTCTGAATAGTGACACAGTAAACATGGGTGTGCAAATGTCTCTCCTAAGTCCTGAGTTGCAGTGTGTACTTTTGATATAGATCCAGAAGTGAGATTGCTAGATCATATAATTCCATTTTTAATTTTTTGAAGAACATGTATGCTATTTAAAAAAAAAAAAAAAAAACAGTCTCACTCTATCACCCAGGCTATAGTGCAGTGGCGCCATCTCAGCTCACTGCAACCTCTGCCTCCTGGGCTCGAGCCTTCCTCCCCCTTCAGCCTCCCGAGGACCTGGAAGTACAGGTGCCACCACCACACCCAGCTAACTTTTGTATTTTTAATAGAGACAAGGTTTTGCCATGTTGCCCAGACTGGTCTCGGACTCCTGGGCTCAAGTGATCCGCCCGCCTCAGTCTCCCAAAGTGCTGGGGTTCCAGTTGTGAGCCAGTGCGCCTGGCCTATGCTATCTTTCATCATGGCTGCATCCTTTCTTTCCTACCAGCAGGTTACGTGGTTTTCAACGTCTTCACATCCTTGACAGATCTGAATTTTTTTTTTTACAGTGGCCATTCTAATACGTGTGAGGAAATAGTTAATTGTCATTTTGTTTTGCATTTCTCTACAAATTAGTAATTTGAGCATTCATTCAGGTGCTTGTTGGGCGTTTCCATATCTTTTTTGAAGAGATTTCAGTTAGTCCTTCATCTATTTTTAAATCAAGTTATTTAATTGTTGTTGTTGAGTTGTAAAAGTTCCTTATATAATCTGAATATTAAGTCCTATCAAATGTGTGATTTCCAAGTATTTTTACCCATTTCTTAGGTGGCATTTTCACTTCACTCATTATTTTCTTTGATTTGCAGAAAGTTTGAAGTTTGATGTAGTTCAGTTTTTCTGTTCTTTTGTTGCTTATGCATTTGCTCTCCTATATTTTCTTCTAAGAGTTTTATTCTATTTCTGTACCTAAGTATTTCATTTAAAATACTTCTGTATATGGTGCATGAAAAAGATATCACTTCACTTTTCCATGTAGATATCTAGTTTTTAACATCATTTGTTGAAAGGACTCTTCTCCATTGTGTGGTCATGGATACCTTGTGGAAAATTATTTGATTTTATCCACAAGAGTTTATTTCTGGGTCCCCTGCTTTGTTTCATCATTTAGTTATCTGTCTTTATGTCAGTACCACGTTGTTTTTGTTTTCGTAGCTTTTTATATGTTTTAAAATCAGAAAGTGTAATGCCTCTTTGTTCTTTTTAAAGAATTTCGACTAGTTATTGTTCTTAAACTAATTTTAGGATTAAAAAATCAAAAAGTACCATTGGGAATTTGATAGAGATTATATTGAATATGTACATTAGTGTGGCCATTATTGACATCTTTAAAAAACTAAATTATCTGACCATTGAGCAAGAATGTGTATGTTCAAGGGCGTTTAATTTCCATACATTTTTGGCATTGCCAGGATTACTTTTGCTTTTGATTTCTAGTTTTATTACATTTTGGTTAGAAAACATGTCATGGGACTTTCATCTTTAAGAGTTATTTGTTGTAACAGAATGCACTTTGTGTATTTGAGAATATTGTATATTATGCTTTTTTTGACTGGAGCATTCTATACGTATCTGTTAAGTTGACCTGTGTAATTTTCTGTGTGTGTGTGTGTGTGTGTGTGTGTGTGTGTGTGTCGGAGTCTCACTCTGTCACCCAGGCTGGAGTGCAGTGACGCAATGTCGGCTCACTGCAAGCTCCACCTCTCGGGTTCAGGCCATTCTCCTGCCTCAGCCTCCCGAGTAGCTGGGACTACAGGCACCCGCCGCCATATCCAGCTAATTTTTTTTTTTGGTATTTGTAGTAGAGACGGGGTTTCACCGTGTTAGCCAGGCTGGTCTCGATCTCCTGACCTCATGATCCTCCCACCTCGGCCTCCCAAGGTGCTGCGATTACAGGTGTGAGCCACCCCACCCGGCCTTGATTTTCTGTGTAATTTTCTATTCTGTGTTGAAAATGGGGTCTTAGAGTCGATAATTATTGTATTTCTGTGTACGTCTTGCTTCACTTCTCTCCATATTTGCTTTATGTATCTGGGAACCCTGATGTTAGATATTAATATAGACAGATGAACAGTTACAGGTTCCTGGTTAATGGACACATTTTGTCATTACATGCTATTAATCTTTATGTCCTGTGACAGTTTTGACCTAAAGTATATTGTGTCTAATATAATGATAACCACCCCACCTGACTGTGGTTACTAATTGCATGGAATTTTTTTTTATTCTTACTTTCAGCCTATTTTTCTATTTAAAGCTAGTCTTTTGTAGCTAGCATATTGTTCTTAATTCAGCTATTTTATTTCTGTCAAATAAGTAGGTTAATTTATGTTTAAAATCATTTCTGAAGGAAATGAAGTTACTGTCACTATCTTGACTGTTACTGTTTTCTGTGTTTCTTGTAGATATGTTATCCCTCATTTCCTCTTTGACTATCTTCATTGTTTGTTTTGTGATTTTGTGTGGACATGCTTTCATTCTTTTCTCATTGTGTTTTGCAGACCTTGTATAGGTATTTTCTTCGTGATCGCCTTGAAAAATGGAGAGTATGGCCGGGCGCGGTGGCTCACGCCTGTAATCTCAGCACTTTGGGAGGCCGAGACGGGCGGATCACGAGGTCAGGAGCTCGAGACCATCCTGGCTAACACAGTGAAACCCCGTCTCTACTAAAAAATACAAAAAACTAGCCGGGCGATGTGGCGGACGCCTGTAGTCCCAGCTACTCGGGAGGCTGAGGCAGGAGAATGGTGTGAACCCGGGAGGCGGAGCTTGCAGTGAGCTGAGATCCGGCCACTGCACTCCAGCCTGGGCGACAGAGCGAGACTCCGTCCCGGAAAAAAAAAAGAAAAATGGAGAGTACATCAAACACCTTAAAGTTATAGATTTTAATCTCACAACTTCATTAAATACAGAAACTGTAACACCCTCCAGTGTGCTATTAATGTAACAAATTATTGTATATTTTGTATCTGGTAGCAAAGATTCATGCAGATATTTTTTCAGATATTATGGCAGAATTTTGAGTTTTTTACACTATCATTATGATAGTAAAGTATTATATATCTGCTTATATACCTTTAACAGAGTTTTATATTTTCATATGGTTTTATAATGCTGTCTAGCATCATTGTCTTTTTAACACAATGAAGTCTTTTCAGTATTTTTTCTGTATTTTGTAGAGATTGGGTCTTGCTCTGTTGACCAGGCTAATTCATAACTCCTGATCTCAGGCAATCCTCCTACCTTGGCCCACCCAAAGCTGGTATTATGGGCATGAGCCACCATGCCTATCCAGCCTTTAGCGTTTCTTATAGAACTATACTAGTGGTAGTGAACACCCTCATCTATTTATTTATTTTGGAAAGTCTTTATTTTTCCCTTGTTCTTTTGAAGTGAAATTATTCTAGATCAGGTGTTCTTGGTTAGTAACATTTTTATCATACTGAAATTTGGAAAGTTAACAGCCTTTTTTTCTTCGAATAATGCCTCTACTGCTTTTCTGCTATGTATTTTTTGTAAGACTTCTTTCATGAATATATTGGTTTAGATCATGGTGTTCAATAAATCCTATATTTTAGTTATTTGTTTTACAGTTTTATTTTTCTGTGTTTTATTTTTAAATCTGTGCTACATTCTGTTTTATTGTACTATTTGTCTGCCTTTATACCAATACCAAACTGTTTTAATTACGGTTGCCTCATAATGTGTTTTGAAGTCAGACAGTGTGATACCTCCAATATTGTTCCTCTGTTTGAAAATTGTTGGGTGCTTTACAGTCCCTTGAGATGTCTTAGGATTTTTAGGTTATTGCTTTTATTTCTGCAAAAAGAGGATTAGAAATTTGAAAGAGATTGCATGGAGTTTGTAGATTGCATTGGACAGCGTGAACATCTTTGCAATATTGAGTATTTCAACCCTTGAACAAGAGCACGCTCAAATGTGTTGTTTAATTTCCATATATTTGTGAATTTTTTTGTTTTTCTTTGTTATTTCCAGTTTCATTTCATTTTGGTCATATATAGTAATGCAGAAGACTTCCGTTTTTTGAAATTTGGTAAGACGTGTTTATTTGTTTAACAGGTGGCCTGTCCTGGAGAATGTTTCCTGAGCTCGTGGGAAGAGTGTGTCTCCTGCTATGTTGTGTGGGGTGTTGTATCTATGTCTGTGAGGTAGAATTGCTTTGTAGTGCTTTCAGGTCCTCTCTACAATTATTAAGTCTTGCTTTATTATTCATTACTGAAAGTGGGTTCTAGAAGTATGCCACTATTATATTGCTGTCTGTTTCTTGCTTCAATGCTGTAATTATTTGTTTATAAAGAACTTGCAAAATTGAAGCAAGAAATAGCAATATAATAGGAAGTTACTTCAATACCCAAATACATATACAAATATGCACCCACACTTGTCATAGGTTCCCAGTTCATTCCCCCTTCTATTATTGTTTTATGTTCTTGTTTTTTGTGAGCTCTGACTTAAAGTATGCTTTATGAAGTATGACATTTTTTTACTTAAGATGTATTTTGCATAATATAATTGTAATCTCTTCTCTCATTTCATTAACATTTGCATGAAATGTCTATTTCCATCTTGCCACTTTCAGTCTCTTTTTGTCATTAGGTCTCAGGTGAATTTCTTGTAGGTCAGCTATAGTTTGATCTTGGCTTGGTTTTAAATTATTTAGCATATGCCTTTTGATTGAGTAGTTTAGTTCCTAAATAAACAATTTACTGATATAAAAAGATGTACTTTAGCCATTGTATTTTTTTTTACTTGATTCTTGTAGCTTTTTCTTTCTCCCTTTCTTTTTTGTGTCTTGTACTTTGTGTAATAAGCTTTGACTTCTTTTTAAATTTTCTTTTGTGTGTCTTATAGACATTTTCTTTGTAGTTACCATGGAAAGTATATAAAACATCTTAAAGTTACAGCAAGATATTTTACACTGGTAAATACTTAACCTTAGTTGTATACAAAAATTCTTTCTTATTAAATCTGCCCTCAACTTTGTTACTAATGTCACGAAATTATTTAATGTTATATATCCATTAACAGATATTTATGATTATTTTTCTACTTTCGTCTTTCAAATTTTAGATAATAATTAAAAGTGATTTCTGCACCATCGTTATAGTACCACAGAATTTTATTTTTCTGTGTATGCGTATCTTTTCCATATATTTATTTTGATATGATTATATATTATTTTCTAGCATTGCATTATTTTCAATGGAAAGGACTCCTTTTACCGTTTCTTGTTTGACATGTGTAGTGGTAGTGTAGCCCTTGGTTATGTTAGAAAGTCTTTATTTGTTTTTATTTTGTAGGTCACTGGTTATATTATTCTTGCTTGGAAGTTTTGTGTTCAGCAATTAGACTTATCTCATCCGGTTCCCTTCTTGCTTCAGCTTGTACTTTTTTTGAAACAGGGATTTACTCTGTCACTCAAATTGGAGTGCAGTGGTGTGATCATGGCTCACTGCAGCCTCAACTTTCCAGGCTCAGGTGATTCTCCCACCCCAGCCTTCTGAGTAGCTGGGAAGCACAACAGCATACACAGCTAATTTTTTTTGTATTTTTTGTAGAGATGGGATTTCACCATGCTACTCAGGCTTGTCTCAAACTCCTGGGCTCAAGCGATCTGCCCGCCTCAGCCTCCCAAAGTGCTGAGATTACAGGTGTGAACCACTGTGCCCAGCCTGCCCTCAAGGTTTCTGTGGACAAATTCACTGGTAATCTCCTAAGAGCATACACCTTGCTTTTCACTTGCTGCTTTCAGGATTATTTTCTCCTTTGACTTTGGAAACTGCGGTTATAATGTGTCTTATATCCCTTTTGTTTATACTAGTTGATGTGTTGAGCTTCTTGATTTTTTAATATTTTTTTCTTACTTTTAAGAATTTCTCAGTAATTATTTCCTTTCATACCTGTTTCTCAGTCTGTTTTTCATACTTTATATCTTTTTATTGATATCCTCATTTTCCTAATTTTACTTAGTTTGCTGTTTTCCCATTTTTACTCATTGAGCATTATTCAAATGGTAATTTTATTTTTTCAGTTAATTTATGCATCTCCATTGTTTTAGGGTTGATTTTTGAACTTTTTTTTATTTCCTTGATTGCGTCATGTGACCCTAATACTTTGTACATGTAATCTTTGATTGAGATTCAGGCATTAACAAAAAGCCTCCTGCCACAACCTTTATAATGTGGCTTTCTCCTGGGGTAGTCTAAAACAAATTGGGCCGGATTCTAGAGGCCACTTAAGCCTGTTCTGCAGTTGTGTCTTGTGTGGGATTGTGTGTGTATTTTTCAGTTAAAGAGAGTTTCTCAGGTTTCTTCACAGTGCCCTGTAATTACCCACTGCACCTGTTGCCTGGTGCTGCTGCTGCAGCCTTCCTGCTGCTGTCACAGGTATTTCCTTTCGGTCTTAGCAGACCCAGCCTGTCACTCAGAGTACCGCCATTTCTTTCAGCCCTCTGTCATGGGGGCAGAAATCAGTCTTTGCCAAAGCTTCAAAAGGCCAAAAGTAAAAATACTTGCGCCAGTACTTTCTTTCTCTTTTGAAGGAGAAGCCAGGAGTTGAGGATGTACTCTCAAAGGCATTGTGCTGTACTGTGGAGGAGCAGGGGCTGTGGGGGGTAAATGTAACACACTTTTTTTCTTTTTATGTGGCTCCTAGCATTGTGCTCACCGGGGGTGCTGCAAACTCTGAAGTGGTTTTTAGAGTTCAGATGCATTTTCTCACTAGGTATTGTTACATTTATATGTTTATACAGAAATTAGGGCCTGTGGTATTTTTTATGCCATTTTGCTAATGTATTTGGCATTATTTTACAGATTAGATTCACAAAATATATTCATCTGTGTCTAGTAAGTGGGATAACTTTTTTTTTTTTTCCAGCTATGTCTTCTCATGTTACCCAAGACCTTTTGCCAGAGCAGGGCATACAAGATGCATTCCCAAAATCAATACTGAGAGGATATGGAAATTGTGGCCTTGATAATTTACATTTAAGGAAAGACTGGGAAAGTTTAAATGAGTGTAAGTTGCAAAAAGATTATAATGAACTTAACCAATGTTCATCAACTACCCATAGCAAAATCTTTCAATGTAATAAATACGTTAAAATCTTTAATAACTTTTCAAATTTGCATAGACATAATATAAGTAATACTGGAGAGAAACCTTTCAAATGTCAAGAATGTGGCAAATCCTTTCAAATGTTCTCATTCCTAACTGAACATCAGAAAATTCACACTGGAAAAAAATTGCAAAAATGTGGAGAATGTGGCAAAACCTTTATACAGTGCTCACACTTTACTGAACATGAGAACATTGACACTGGAGAGAAACCTTACAGATGTCAAGAATGTGACAAAGTTTTTAAAACTTGCTCAGTCCTTACTAAAAATAGAATTTACGCTGGAGGGGAACATTACAAATGTGAAGAATTTGGCAAAGTATTTAACCAGTACTCCCACCTTACTGAACATGAGCGTGGTACTGAGGAAAAACCCTGCAAATATGAAGAGTGCAGCAGTGTCTTTATATCTTGCTCAAGCCTTTCTAATCAACAGCTGATTCTTGCTGGAGAGAAGCTCTCCAAATGTGAAACATGGTACAAAGGTTTTAACCACAGCCCAAATCCTTCCAAACATCAGAGAAATGAGATTGGAGGGAAACCTTTCAAATGTGAGGAATGTGACAGCATCTTCAAATGGTTCTCAGACCTTACTAAACATAAGAGAATTCACACTGGTGAGAAACCCTACAAATGTGAAGAATGTGGGAAAGCCTATACGCAGTCCTCACACCTCAGTGAACACAGGAGGATTCACACCGGAGAGAAACCCTACCAGTGTGAAGAATGTGGGAAAGTCTTCAGAACTTGCTCAAGCCTTTCTAATCACAAGAGAACTCATTCTGAAGAAAAACCCTACACGTGTGAAGAATGTGGCAACATCTTTAAGCAGTTATCAGACCTCACTAAGCATAAGAAAACCCATACTGGAGAGAAACCCTACAAATGTGACGAATGTGGAAAGAACTTTACCCAGTCCTCAAACCTTATTGTACATAAGAGAATTCATACTGGAGAGAAACCCTACAAATGTGAAGAATGTGGCCGAGTCTTTATGTGGTTCTCAGATATTACCAAACATAAGAAAACCCATACTGGAGAGAAACCCTACAAATGTGACGAATGTGGAAAGAACTTTACCCAGTCCTCAAACCTTATTGTACATAAGAGAATTCATACTGGAGAGAAACCCTACAAGTGTGAAAAGTGTGGCAAAGCCTTCACCCAATTCTCACACCTGACTGTACATGAAAGCATTCATACTTGAGAAAAAAAAAATATAAAAATAGGCACAGCCTTTAGTATCTGCTCGCATCCTACTTTACATCAGTTTGGACGTAACAAAGTTATTATAAATTTAATTACTATTGAAAGACCTTTCATGAAATATAAGTCTCCAGAGCACACAAGAGTATTTCTTCTGAAAAAAAATGTTACAATTATGTTTTATACTAGATGGAAGACATGCAACAGTTGCTTAAACTTCCAGAGAATTTGTAGAGAAACCCAACAAATATCATAACTGTGGAATAACATTTGTTCAAAAACGATAGCTTAGAAAACATCAGAGTTCATACTAAAAGATATTTTGCAAATACAGTAAATGGGAAACATAAGCAAAATTCAATTTAAGTAAACATTGGAGGATTTGAAGAAGAGAGGAACAGAGCACGGACGCGTTCTAAGTAAACACTGGAGGATTTGAGGAAGAGAGGAACAGAGCACGGACACGTTCGGAAACGACAGTGAATCCGTGTGTTGAGTCTACGGGGACATCTCGACTTGAAGTAGATCGTTCATTCTTATTTAAGTTTAAAAGGAGGATGAGACTGAGTTTTTGTAGAGTTATAATTACATTCAAAATACACGTTTTTGCATTGAAAAATGTTAAATTTTTGAAAAGCGAATATTGATGTCTTTTAATCCTCGAATCAGTTCATGCTGTGTCTTCATTTCTGGTGCTGATGTGAAAACACATGGTCAGTTGTTGCTGCATCAGAGATGTGAGAAATTCTCTTCTGTTAGGTGTGCATCACTGATATACTTGTCCATGAAAGGTGAAAGACACTGAAATGTAAGATGCGTGAGTAAAATCTTGGTAGAGGCTGTTTGTGGTTGTTTTATATACTTGTAAGTGATTTATGAGCTGGGTGTTTAGAATACTACTCTTCTGTTAGGGTCACCCTGACCAGAGCATTCCCTTCCCCTCCCACAGGCCTTACAGTACAGTCCCTTGCGCTCTCTGCACAGCTACCCCACGGCAAAAGACAAACCCGCCCTTCACCGTCCCCTCCAGTAACTGTCCAGACAGTTACAGGATGCGGTTAACATGTCTGTTCACCTCGCATAACAAAGCTGGCAAAAAACATCTCCAGGATGCAGACAAGACACCTGCACCCCCAACTCAGCTCCCCTACCCCAACCTAGTTCTCCTGCACCCCCAGCTCAGCTCCCCCACCCCGACCCAGTTCTCCTGCACCCCCAACTCAGCTCCCCAGCCCCGACCTGGTTCTGGCCCTATAAAACCCTGCTATAATCTATAAGCGGAGTTGCCTCCTCTAACTGGCAGAGCAGCCAGGCAGCTCAGTGAAGCTTGCTTGCCTGACTTTGGGTCTCCTCATCCTTTCTCTCGGCTGACCTTAGATTTCTGGTGCCAAAACCCAGGATGATGGTAGAGTTTGGCCTCCCTTTCTCCTTCCCTCCCTCCTTCCCCCAGCTAAACTCCCCCTTCCAGAACCTGCTGGAGACCCAAGGATCTTTCCATTGCTGGCGAACACATCGAACACGAAGGCCACCTGAGGGGTGAGTAAAGGAGACTTTTGCCTTCTTTCTGGAACCCTTGTCTACTCTTTCCTTCCCAAAAGACCCAGCGCTGGGCCAAGGGTTTCCTCCTCCTCCCAGCCTCCAGGAGGCCCTTGATATCTCCCTATCGGGGATGCCTGAACTGGGGATTATCGCACTTCTCCGACTTGAACCATGGGACAAGGGATGCCTTCTCCCACCATTCTAGTCTCTGGCCAAGTCTCCCATCTCTACCCCTCCCTTTCTCATTCCACCGTGGGAGCCTCCCAATCCACTCCCTCAAAGACATCCCCCGCTTGGGTGTCTCCTCTGTAACCTTAACGCCCTTAGCCTCCATTCCGAAATTCAGCCAAAAAAAACTCATCTTTTATTGGAACACTGCCTGGCCACAATATAAACTAAACAATGGCTCCCAATGTCCTGAAAACAGCACTTTCAGTTTCAACATTCTCGGGTACCAAGACAACTTCTGCCATCGCGATCAAAGTGGTCAGAGATCCCTTATGTTCGGGCTTTCGTTTGCCCTCCGTAGCTGTCCCTCCCTCTGTCAGTCCTGCTCTACTTTCCAGATCCTCCTCACCTGCTCCACACCTGACCCATTCTCAGACCCCCCACACCCGTCACCACTCCTCCCGATGATTCTTCCTCCTTTGACCCTGCCGACTTTTCCCCAACAGCACCATAATCCTCCCCCACATCATCACAGTCCTCCACCATACACTCCCACTGCTGCCTTCTTTCTCTTCCTCTCTCCAACCACCCAGCTTCTGATTCTGATTCCTCCCCATCTCCATCTCATACCCACTCAGACTCAGCATGCCCAACAGTCGGCCCCCTTACTTCCCCTCTGAGAGGTGGCTAAAGGAGTCATTTGCGTCCACATTCCCTTCTCCCTGTCTAACCTTTCCCAAATTAAGAAACGTCTCAGGTCCTTTTCCTGCAATCCTGACACTTATATCAAATAGCTCACTTGGCATGATCTCTATATTATCCTCTTTTACTCTCCTGGAAAAAAAAAAAGAGTGGCTTGCAGCTCAGGCGCACGCCAGTGATCTTCATCGGCAAGAGCCTACTAAGCCTGTAGGGGCCGCTGCAGTTCCCTGGGAAAAACCCTCCTGGGAGTACCAGCCCACACAACCTGGCCAGGCATCTGGTGATCACGTGATCACTTGCCTTATCAGAGGCCTTAACAAAGTGGCCGTAAGGCCATAACTTTGAAAAACTCAAAAAAATCTCCCAAAGGGCCGACAAAAATCCCACTAATTTCTTTCCTGCCTTACAGAGGCCTTCCAAAAATACACCCATGTTAACCCCACCTCCCGGGAAGGAACTATTGTTCTTAATATCCATTTCATCTCTCAGTCTGCTCCTGATGTATGGCACAAGCTCAAAAAGGTAGAAGACGGCCCTGAAACCCCTCAACAAGACCTCTTTAACCTGGCCTTTAAGGTCTTCAACAACAGAGATGAGCAAAATAAGATAAAGCCCAATGAGATCATGCCAAATACCAGCTCCTAGCAGCAGCTATTCATCAGCCTACTCAGGCTGCCCGGGGCACAAAAGACCCCATAGCAGTGACCCTCCCGGGCCCTGTTTCAAGTGCTGCAAACAAGGCTGTTGGGCCCGAGCATGCCCTAACCCATGAATGCCAAAAACTCCTTGCCTAGCTTGCCAACAAACTGGCCACTGGAAGTCTGATTGTCCTCAACAAGCAGACTAACAGGCCGGTTCCTCAAGGCCCTGGCAAAGCAAAGAGTGAAGAGTCACTCACTCCCACAGCTCCTTGGCTGGGCCACTGAAGATTGACAGAGCCCAGGGCCCCCGGCCCCATCCGCCATCGCTGCATTGGAGCCCAGGGTAACTCTGCTAATAGCAGGTAAGCCAGTCTCTTTTTTAATTGATAATGGGGCCACCTACTCGGCTTTACCTGAATTTTTAGGACCCACTTACCCTTCCCAGGTCTCTGTTGTGGGGGTTGATCGACTCGTCTCGCATCCACATGCTACTGAATCCTTTACTTGTTCCCTGTTTAATACTATTTTTTCACACTCCTTCCTTATGCCTCATTGCTCCACCCCAATCCTAGGCCAAGACATTTTAACCAAATTCAAAGCTTCTATCACCTTTTCCTGTCTCCCTCAACCAGAGTCCCTCCTGTTCCTCTCTGCTAGTCCAGCCCCTGACCCCCCCTTCCCCAGCACCTGCTACCCGCCTCCCCCATTAACCCAGTAGTGTGGGACACCACCACCCCTTCCATAGCTGCTCACCAGGACCCCATCAAAATCCTGTTAAAAGACCCTCTAAATTTCCCAACATTCTCCAATACCCTGTTTCCCTAACACACCAAAGGGCTTACAACCCATCACAAACAAGCTCTGCTCACACAGTCTGCTTAGACCAACACACTCTCCATGTAACACCCCCATCCTCCCTATTGAAAAATCTGACGGCTCATACTAACTCATTCAGGACCTCCGAGCTATCAGTCAGGCTGTTCTCCCTATTCAACCTGTAGTCCCTAACCCCTATACACTTCTCTCTCTCATCCCCTCCAACACCACCCACTACACCACAGTTGACCTAAAAGATGCCTTCTTCACCATTCCCCTACACCCTCATTCCCAAAACCTCTTTGCTTTCACCCAGACTGACCCCAACAGCCTCCAGTCACAACTCACGTGGACTGTCCTCCCTCAGGGCTTCAGGGATAGCCGTCATTTCTTCCGGCAAGCGCTAGCCCAAGACCTTGCCTCCTTGGATCTTTTACCCAGCCACCCCCTTCAATATGTAGATGACCTCCTTCTCTGTAGCCCTTCTCTAAAAACCTCCCGGACTCACACTGCCCCCTTCTCAGTTTCCTCACTAATAAAGGCTATAGGGTCACCCCCTCCAAAGAATGGCCCAGATCTCGAGCCATGACCCTGTCACTGGCAGCCTTAATAGACAGCCTATCTCCACCTTCCTCAAAAAACTAAATCCGTTCCTTCCTAGGGCCAGCAGGCTTTTTAAAAATATGGACTCCCGGCAGGGCGTGGTGGCTCAAGCCTGTAATCCCAGCACTTTGGGAGGCCGAGACGGGCGGATCACAAGGTCAGGAGATCGAGACCATCCTGGCTAACACGGTGAAACCCCGTCTCTACTAAAAAAAAAAAATACAAAAAAACTAGCCGGGCGAGGTGGCGGGCACCTGTAGTCCCGGCTACTCAGGAGGCTGAGGCAGGAGAATGGTGTGAACCCGGGAGGTGGAGCTTGCAGGGAGCTGGGATCCGGCCACTGCACTCCAGCCTGGGCAACAGAGCGAGACTCCATCTCAAAAAAAAAGAAAAAAAAAATAAGGACTCCCAACTTTGCCCTCCTAGCTCACCCCCTTTATAAAGCAGCCAAAGGCCCCTTCAATAAACCCCTAACCTCCTCACATAACATACTCCCCAACTTCCACAAACTCCAAACCGCTCTCATCACTGCACCGGCTCCGTCCTAACCTCATAGCTCCCAACCTGTCACTCTATACTGCCGAAAACCAAGGAATAGCCCTTGGTGTCTGAAGACAGCAAAAATAAAATCCTCCCTCCTTTGCTCCTGTTCCTGCCTCTCTAAACAACCCAACAACACAGTCACAGGTGGCCAGCCTGTCTTACAGCACTAGCAGCAGTGGCTGTTTTAGCTCTAGAAAGCAGGAAATTGAACATTCAGCCCAAATACCACCATCTATATAGTCTTCATAATCTACAAGATCCCCTCTCCTCTCAAGCATTAAGCTCTCCTCCTCCTCCTTCCCAGATTCAATTACTCCATGTCCTCTTTATCAAAAACCCCAAATTCTGCCTTACCAAAAGTGCTCCCCTCAACCCAGAATCCTTACTCCTGGTGTGCTCTTCCCTTCCTACTCATTCTTGCTCTGACATCCTAGACCACCTGCACACTTCCCAAACGTTTCCTCCAAGCCTCTCACCAACCCCAATGACCAGCTATTCACAGAGGGCTCCTCTTTCAGGCCCACTGGCTCCCCCAGAATTGCTGGATATGCAGTTGTTTCTCTTGACCAAGTAATTAAAGCCAGGCCCCTACCTCCAGGAACCTCCTCCCAAAAAGCGGAACTTAAAGCTGTCACCAGAGCCCTAACCCTTTCCAAATAGGCCTATCACATCCTTCATTCGCATGCTGCCGTCTGGCAAAAGAGAGGATTCCTTACTGCCAAAGGAACCCCCATCACTAAGGTCCCCCTTTATTTACCAACTACTTCAGGCTGCACACCTTCCAACCAAAGTAGGACATCAAATGGGATCAAATAAAATCTCAAAAGGAAACAAAAGCCGATAAAGCAGCAAAAAAGGTCTCTGTTTCTTCTGCCCCTGGCTCTCTCCTCCTCATTACCCCTGCAATCCAACCCCAGAATTCCCCCACTAAAAAAAGCCTCACTACTACAACAAGGCACCTCCTTCCAAAGGAACTAGATCATCAAAAAACTCATCCTCCACCAAAAACAAATGAAAAAAAAAAAATTCTAACATCCCTTCACCAATCTTTCCATGTTGGAGTGTACCCCCCCTTACCTTCTCCTTTGCCTGTATTTCTCTTTGCCCCACCTGTCTACCTTACTAAAAAACATAACCTCAAACTGTCATATGTGCTCTGTCACTTCCTCCCAAGGGATGCTCCGCTCTCCATCTATTCCTACATACCCAGTAAGAGGAACCTCATTATCGTATTTCCAGGCACTCTACAGACTTACAGGCTTCCCTGAAAAAAAAACAAAAAAAAAACTGTAGACTATGACCCACCTCCAAAACCAACTAGACTCCCTAGCAGCAGTTACCCTACAAAACCGCAAAGGCTTGATTTACTTACTGCAGAAAAGGAAGTCTCTGGATCTTCCTAGATGAGGAAGGCTGTTTCTACTTCAATCAGTCAGGCCTGGTTCAGAATGCAGTCAAAAAACTAAAAGACCAAGCCCCCAACCCCGCCAAAAAAAAAACAGCTCCTCTGCCTGGCCCTGTTGCCCCCTTGGTCTCTCAGCTCTTGGGCCTCCTGGTTCCTCCCACTCATAGGACCCGTCATAACCATTCTCCTTCCAGTCTTTGGGCCCTGCCTCTTACATCTCTGTACCCAGTTTTTACAGAACCGCGTCCGAGCTTTCACCCACGGAACCATACAAGACATGACGCTACTACAAGAATACTGGCAATTTCAAAACCAGTACCAGGATCAACCCCTACCTTCCAGCCTTTCTCCTAACCACTGCGCCCTCTCGGCTTGAAGTAGCCAGACGAAAAATGGCATCCCTTTTCCTATCATCTATTAAATGGCTAAAATGTTAGGGTCACCCGACCAGACCATTCTCTTCCCCTCCCACAGGCCTTACAATACAGCCCTTGCACGCTCCACACAGTTACCCCAGGGCAAAAGACAAACCCCCCCTTCACCGTCCCCTCCAGTAACTGTTTGTCCAGACAGTTACAGGATGCGGTTAACATGTCTGTTCCCCTCGCGTAACAAAGCTGGCAAAAAACATCTCCAGGATGCGGACAAGACACCTGCACCCCCAGCTCAGCTCCCCCACCCCAACCCAGTCCTCCTGCACCCCCAGCTCAGCTCCCCCACCCCGACCCAGTCCTCCTGCACCCCCAGCTCAGCTCCCCCACCCCGACCCAGTCCTCCTGCACCCCCAGCTCAGCTCCCCCACCCCGACCCAGTCCTCCTGCACCCCCAAGTCAGCTCCCCCACCCCGACCCAGTCCTCCTGCACCCCCAGCTCAGCTCCCCCACCCCGACCCAGTCCTCCTGCACCCCCAGCTCAGCTCCCCCACCCCGACCCAGTCCTCCTGCACCCCCAGTCAGCTCCCCCACCCCGACCCAGTCCTCCTGCACCCCCAAGTCAGCTCCCCACCCCGACCCAGTCCTCCTGCACCCCCCCAGCCAGCTCCCCCACCCCGACCCAGTCCTCCTGCACCCCCAGCTCAGCTCCCCCACCCCGACCCAGTCCTGCACCCCCAAGTCAGCTCCCCACCCCGACCCAGTCCTCCTGCACCCCCAAGTCAGCTCCCCCACCCCGACCCAGTCCTCCTGCACCCCCAAGTCAGCTCCCCCACCCCGACCCAGTCCTCCTGCACCCCCAAGTCAGCTCCCACACCCCAACCTGGTTCTGGCCCTCTAAAACCCTGCTGTAGTCTATAAGCGGCGCTGCCTCCTCTAACTGTGGCAGAGCAGCCAGGCGGCTCAGTACAGCTTGCTTGCCTGACTTTGGGTCTCCTCATCCTTTCTCTCGGCTGACCTTACACCTTCTGCATTATAGGAAGAGGGAAACATTTTGAATTTTGTAAATTAATCGTTTTACCAGTATTTTATTAAGGTAATATACCATAAATTTTGAAATACTTTTTAAGATTCTATGTGAACTTGATTTGTTTTTAAACACAACTGTGTTAAATGTGTTAAGCCTGGTGTTCATATAAAGTGTTATCCTACCAAAAACCAATTCCATCTTAGTGAAAGATGTCGATAACAGACGGTAACAATGTACTGTTGGGTGGGGCATAGTGGAATAGCATCTCCCAGGGATTTTTTAAAATCCTTTCCCTCTTTTTGTAACTACAGAGTCATTATTATTGCTATAATAAATATTATACAGGTGTATAAATAAAATACATATATTTCGGAGTATTTTTTAATTTTTTCCTATAGTTTTTGTTGGATATACAACTTCTCTGCCCTGCAGAACACATAGATTCAGCTTTGATTTACATGGAGTTAAATATACAAATATATTACTGTAAAGATAAACTAGCCGTGCGCAGTGGCTCACGCCTGTAATCCCAGCACTTTGGGAGGCCAAGGTGGGTGGATCACCTGAGGTTGGGAGTTCGAGACCAGCCTGACCAACAACGAGAAACCCCATCTCCACTAAAAATACAAAATTAGCTGGGCGTGGTGGCGTATGCCTGTAATCCCAGCTACTCGGGAGACTGAGACAGGAGAATTGCTTGAACGCAGGAGGTGGAGGTTGCGGTGAGCCAAGATTTTGCCATTGCACTCCAGCCTGGGCAACAAGAGTGAAACTGCATCTCAAAAAAAAAAAATCATAGACTATTTTATATAGTTTATATATATACACGTACACGTACACGTATACACACACACACATGTGTATATATGTATATACACATATGTGTGTGTGTGTATATGTGTACGTGTATATATAAAAACTAGGCTGGGCATGGTGGCTCACATCTGTAATCCCAGCACTTTGGGAGGCCAAGAAGGGAGGATCACTTGAGCTGAAAAGTTTGGGACCAGCCTGGGCAACATAGTAAGACCTTGTCTCTACTATAGATTGTTTAAAAATCAGCTGGGAGTGGTGGTGCACACTTTCAGTCGCAGCTACTCAGGGGGCTGAGGTGGAAGGACCATATGAGCCTGGGAGATCAAGGCTGCAGTGAGCTATGATCATGCCACTGCACTCCAGCCAGGGCAGCAAAGTGTGCCCTTGTCTCAATAAAGAAAGGAAAGAAAAGAGAAAAGAAAAGAGGGGAGGGGAGGGGAGAGGAGAGGAGCACAGAGAAATATTTAAAGTCAGATTTGCAAACATCCCAGCAGGGGAGAGCCCTTTTTTCTCCCATCCAATGGAGCTCCCATCGCTCTGATTGGACACGGACTCCCTGGAGGCAGCTCCCAAGAGCAGATGACTCAGAAGTTCCTAGGAAGTCATCAAACCAGATGACACAGAACTCAAACGACATTTCACTTCTTTTTGTATGAGACAAGGTCTCACTCTGTCGCCAAGGCTGGAGTGCAGTGGGGCGATCCTGGCTCACTGCAACCTCCACCTCTGTCCTGGCCACCTCAGGGCGCCCTGAGAGGACCAGGACATGCGGCTGCAGTGGCTGCTCTTTTGGCTCCTCGTGCTGGGGTTTCCCAGCCATCAGTCCAGCCACATGAGTAGACAGTGAACCCGCGGGGTTCCTTCCTTTTCATTGGACTGTCATGGGGTGTGAAATGACACAGCTCATGCCTGTAGTCCCAGCTACTTGAGAGGCTGAGGTGGGACGATCGCTTGGGCCCAGGAGGTGGAGGTTGCAATGCGGAGTCCCCAGGAGTGACATGACCAGGATGTGAATGAGGACTCTCTTGTCCTTTGTTCTGTAAAATGTGTCTTGTGCAGATCGTTGATTTACCCAAAGCAGAAAAGGTCTTAAAGTCCTTTTGATTGTCCAAATAGAAAGAAATCACAGGTTTCCACTTTGAAAGGTTTCACCCTCACGTTATAAAACCTCTCCACTACGCGCAGGAGAGGGCACCTTATGGAGATGAGAGTATTTGTTCTGAGTGGCATGCACCAGATTCTCAGAGGGAGCTGGAAAGGTCCAGTGATGGGGAGCAACCGCCGCATCGAGGCAGAATCGCCCCACATGAGTGCCTCCAATCAAAGAAGAGTCTCTTGATTCTTTTGAGTCTGTGAAGGAGGAAATGTCTTGATAATCTTGGTTGGAATGTTCTTCCCTTTACCTGGCTGCATTTCATAGATCAGTTACACTCTCTTTCCCTACCTTTGAAGACTTGGATACGTTTTCCTCATTGCATTTTCCACGTCCACCCTTGCTCATGGCCATCGACTGCCAGAACCTAAGCTTTTTCCTGGCCGCATTGGACCTAATCTGGGTAGGAGCCCACGACTGATAACCTGATAATTGTCAGATGTGACAAGAGTGCCCAAGACGGAGGATGTTTTCCTGGTCAGTGACAAGATGGCCTTTGTCCTTCTTGTGCATTTGATCCACATCTTTAACCATTGTGCCCAGAGCTCCTGCTTCCTTTCAGATGGAGGCTACTCAGTGGCAGGGCCTCCCTCCCAGGAGCCCGGGCTGCACTCATCTCCACCGTGAGGCTGAAGACAAAAGTGCCGCAGAGCTCAGAGGCTGCTTTCTACAGAGGTTTCATTTGCACAAAACTGAGTCTTGGTATGTGGATTGGTCTCAGTTGCATTTTGTATTTATTTTCTCCCCCAATACTTGTAAATCCAGTGATTGTAAAATAATATGTGTGCCTCGTGTGGTGGTGGCCATACATTCCAGGAAGTTTGGATTGCCTTCCATGTGGATTTCCAAGGTGCTCCTGAGTGCTTCCAGTGCTTTGCTCTAAAACACGAAGGTGACCTTTTGTTAGTGGTTCCTTGGTGGTGTGTTTTTGACTGACTTCAGTTCTCACAGTTTTAATCATAATTCCAAGGAGACTATGTTATGCAAATCTGTATGGACTTTGAAAATCTGACATGGAGTGCCCCGTTTCAGCAGTAGTGAACATTGATTTTCAAAAGTGAATGTTTTTAGAAACTCGGGCTAAACAACAATCTGTGATTATTTTTGTTGGAATATCACCTAGGTATTATTATAGCAGCTGTCCACTCTCAATTTGTGTATATGTAAATATATCTTTATGTAATATTTTCATCTATAACGTTCAGACTTTTTTCTTATATTTTTTCTCATTTTTCCATACAGTGTGGATGTATTTTTGCATATATTTCAAAGAATGTAATACAAATTTTTAAATATATAAAAGAAGACCTTGGCTTCCCAACCATTGTGAGTTTGTATTTTCTTCTCTCCATTTTAAATTGAATTATGCATTTCTAGGTAAAGTTCTATAATTTTTTAAATATTTGCAATGTTTTTGTCAGATAAATAAAAACTAATAATTTGTGTCTCAAATTTCCTTCCTACTTTTTAAGTGATATAAAATCCTGTATATTAACAGCCTCTTTATAAAGAATACAATTTGCTGACTTTTACACATGGACACAGCAATGAAAGCATCACCACATTCCAGATTCAGGACAATAAACACATTCCTCCCTCTTCAAAGTTTTCTCCTCCTCCTCTTGAATCCGTCTGTCCTTCTCCCTCCATCTTACTGTCCTCCCCCTGCTCTGCCATTGTGTGTAATGGAGTCATACAGGAGACATATTCTTGTTGTTCTGGATTCTGTAAAGTCAGCAGAATCATGTTCACATTGATTCATATTGTTTTAAATATTAATAGTTTGTCTTTGTTATATTGCTGAGTAAAATTCCTTTGTATGGACATATGACAGTGCGTCTGTCCTCTCCCTTGGAAAGAAATATAAGGCTTATTTTTCCCATTTGGTCTTTGTCCTGAAAACAAAAACCCATAAAGCAGCACCTCTGCAAGCTTTTCCTGTGTCCTTGCAATTTACAACGCCGGGATCAAGTGATAGAAAAAACACCCAGTTGATATTATGTGTAAAATTGTTCAAACATACAGAACGTGAATAATAATTATTTTGGAACTCTTGTTTAAAGGGGAAAAAATTACACGACACAAGTGGTTTTGGCAATTACTGTCAACATTTTGCTATAAAAATGTTTGTAAATACAGCATTGATGTGTTAACATTTTAATGAACATGACTTAACATGTATCTGCCCATCTTTCCATCCCTCTATCCGTCCATCAGTCCATCTTATTTTAGATGTATTTCCAACTGTGTTGGAGACATCAACATACTTCCAATGAATAGTTTAGCAAAACTAATATTAACTAGAATTCAGTGTTTCTTTATAAAATTTTCTTCTAAACAAGAATTACACTGAACAAACTCTACAAATCTTAGGTGTAACATTGCTCACTTTGGAAAGCACACACACTGCATATCCAAAGCCCCTTTCAAGATCTATAATATTACGTTGCCCCAGAAAGTGAACTCTCCCTCTTCACAGCCAATCCCTTTCTCATCATAGGCTGATTTTGTTTCTTCTGGAATTTCACGTATATAGATGTGTGCCATACCATAGATACTCCTTTGTGTCTGTCTGATTCTGCTCAACACCATGTTTTTTGAAATCATTCCCATTGTTGCACAGATCTCTAACTCAGTCTTTTCCATTTCGGATTCAGTATATGCTGAGTCCAACCTGTTGAATGCCTATCTCTATTTAATTCACCATCTTGAAAGAAGCACTTAAAATTAAGATGTTTTCAAGAACATACAGTTAAATCCTGAGGAATCTATATAGGAATGTTATCAGAAGCCATCTGAACTTACTCAAGGGAAGTCTTCGTCTTCATTCACATAAGAGTCTAATAGAATTAATATCAAGAATCTTAGAGATTTCCCGCACTATTCATGCCATATTCATGATCTCCACTTTGGTTATTATTAAGCACTAAAATTTGATAACTTATTTCTGAATGAAATCATCTCTTTATTGCAGTTTTTTTACTTATGGCGATCTTTAAATGGCAGAGACTCATTCATTCATAATCCGAGAGAAGTGTGATTCACAGGGATTCTTTTATCGTGTGATACATGATAAATACATCCAATATTATATGTCAATTTAAAAAGTAAGTAACTTTAAAAAATGATAATTACTTTAAACCTAGCTTGTCCAACCCACAGGTGACAGGCCACATGCAGCACAGGACAGCTTTGAACATGCCCCAATACAAATTTGTAAACTTTCTCAAAACATTATGAGATTTTTTGTAATTTTTTTTTAGCTCATCAGCTAGTTCTAGTGTTAGTGTATTTTATGTGCAGCTCAAGACAGTTCTCCTTCTTTGAATATAGCCCAGGGAAGCCAAAAGATTGGACCTCCCTGCTTTAGACCAAAGGAAAAAGACACCCCACATTTGCAATGCTTAAAAACACTACCAGCCATGCAGGGAACATGAGACTGTCAACTTCCAATCCTTCTTGAAGCAGTTAAATTCGCTGGTGATATCTGAGGGGTGTGGTTACTTCTTGGAGGAGGTTGAGGGTTTCTAAGGATGAGTCTTTGTGACTGAAATATTGTCAATGTCATTGAGCCTTCTCATTATTTCAACTCTTATTATTCCAGGTCATCAGTGTTCTGCCGGACCGTTTTCAACCCGGCCTGACTTTCCTGGAATTCCCTGGATGCTTGTTATTGTTTCCCTGGGAATTTGTTCACTTGGCATTTTCTTCTGGAAAACTAGCCTTGGTGTGAGTATACTGACTTCCCGTAGAGGTATACTTGTAATCAATAATAAGAAGAAATTATTTAGAACAATTCATGGTTCTGGACTTCATTAGGAATATTGGGTTTTACCAAAAAAAATCAGGGAAGTGATGTATTAGCGTAAGAATTATGAAAATATCTACCATTTACATTATGAAAATTAAATAGGTTGGTGTTTGTTTCATAGAATGTCAACAGAGCTTTTGGTCGAAAATCCTTTTTTTTACCTTTGTACTCTTTATCAGAAATGGATAAAAGGTAAATGCTGGAGTCATTTTCACTCTGCCTATTTCAGGACACTTTCGCCTTTTCCCACAGCCCCCTCTCCTGGCCGGGCCTCTGCTCTGTGGGTTCTGGGGTGCCTTTCCTGGGTGGAGGTTTTCAAAAGCAAAATATTCCCCATGAGCTTCCAGGCTTCTCCGTTCCCAGCTGGTCATCTTCGGTGGCACCTGCAGAAGCCATAAATGCTCAGGGGCCGAGGGCTGAAGGGTGTTCACTGTTCTGTTTGCAGAAATAACATGAGGAGATGCCACTGAGCTCCACTGCTGTGGGTCTCATGGCCCAGGGGACCCTGACTGACCCATTTTACTCCAAATATGCTGGGGTCCCCTTTCCAAAATACGTAAGGTGTTCTTTTTTGCGTGACTTTATTTCTCTTCTGCCATAAGGTAGGTGATTAACCTTTAGAATATCTGCTGTAATCCCAGAAGTGAAAAAACTGAAAACTCATTAATCCAACATTAGTATGTGCAATTTTGAAAACTCTTTGACAAAGTCAATTCCATAATTCATCATAGTCCCAGCTCTGTTGGTAACTGTGTTGTGCAAAATCGCCCCACCCCCACCCAATGGTGCCCTTGATCTCATATTCTGGGTTTCAGAGTTTCCATATTTGCAACAGAAAATGTGCCCTGGCTGTGAGGTAGTGAAGAGTGAATGCCATTCATTACCTACAAGGACAATTCCCAGTGAAGACCTTCAGTGATGCTCAGGGAAGCTGGTCCTCATGTGGCCTCTGTAGTCTCGACAGCTGCTGTGTCCTCTGATGACACGTGATGGGACTTGTACACTTGAAATCAAACACACTTTTAAAACCTCTGTTGTTTAGAATTCCCCCCTCATTTTTCCGTGGACAACCTTATTTTTTATGTCTTAGTGCACTGAAAATTTGGTATTACCTGGGAGTTAAAAGCAACATGATAGCTGTGCCCCGGATGTGTGAAGGCTTTGGATCAGGGTGAGTAAATGGCTCGAGGTCTGGGAAATTTCACTTGGTTGTCAGGGGGCCCTGTCTCCCTGAGTTTTTAGGGCCTCACTAACAATGAGGATGGGTCGGGTTCAGTGGAGCTGTGGCCTTGGCCTTCAGAATGAGACCACCTCTGGTGGGGAAATCAAGGCCCATCCTGAACTGCTCTGGCATCATCTCATCCTCAGCACCCTCTCCTTCCCACCCGCAACTCCCAGCTTTGCATCTCCCAAGCTTGGCGTGCAAACTCCTCCTTTTCCCTGTGTCCTTGCTGCCTGAGCCTAGACACCAACTCTCAGTGGGGCTCAGAGCCCCAGCTTCCTTATAAATGAGCCAGGAATGATGAGGTCATTGTGAGGACTAAGAGACCAAGCCTATAAAGAAAGAATCTTGCAAAATAGCTGGTGGGTGTTAGACCCTCACCCCTCTCACTGGTTAAATGAAAATATTCTCACTCAGAAGATCAGCAAAAGATATTCACCAAAGTTCATTAAATAAACCTTAGGGTGTAACAGCTCAGGCGTGGGATTTCCAATCTCTGTTACAAAAGATAAGGGAAAGTGCCTGTCTCCAAGATGAAAACTCAGATCCTTACGAGATGAGGAAATGGTAGGAATGCATACGCAGTTCCCCTCTGAGATACATATCTGTGATCTATAGATAATTATTCTCCATGACATACAGACACAGATGCAGCCACCCACAGATCCATTCAGCAGGGGCACAGATATTTTATAGAAGACAAAATGTGTATTGGGCAAAAGAAGATCACATGGAATAAACCAAATCCTGTTACCTACAGGACAATTGGAAAACTCTCCTGAGCCGTGATATCTTGGAATAGTATCCAACATGTTTTATGCTCCGTGCCTGGTGCTGCCTCCTCTCCCTCTCATTTCCATAGTGTTTCCTTAATAAACATTCGCAGTCCTGTCTCTCTGGGTGTCTGCTTCCTGGAGGCCCAGCTCACATCCCAGGGTGTACTGGGTGTGACTCCTCATACACTGTTCAAACCCAGGCAGGTACTGCCTTGCTGGCCATAGAAGTAGGGTTAGCCTTTGGGTAGTGTTGACTGGGAGGGGCCCGAGTGGGCCTTCTGGGGTGGGGCAACATCCTGTATCAAGCCATGGGTGGAGGTTGTGCTCATTCATTCTAGATATAGTCACTGTGTGCCTAGTGGCTGCCAGTGGTGCCTTGTGAGCAGATAGACAGGAAGATATCCCCGTGAGGTGGCCAACTACTCATGACAGGGAATAGAAGGGGGCCCAGAAGCAGCTGTGGAGCCAGTGAGGAGCCCCGCACAGGCTCAGGGTTTGTCAGAGCCATTTCCCCACTGAGCCAGCTGCCCCCAGCAGCACCAACTCCAGGCGGCTCTGAGGGAAGCTGAGCTGGGAGCAGACATTTCTCAGTAAGTCCTCTACCCCCACCATCTTTCTGTAATGTTTTAATCACAGCATCTGCACACTTGTGGCCCGCACCCGTGCTGCCCCCAGGTCCATGTAGAGTGCACCAGCCAGTGCCAAAAGCCACCTGCACTGGCTCCATGCTTCAATGACACCAACGGCCATGAGCATAGCCACAAATTTCCACCTCTTGAATGCCACCAACGGCTGTGAGCATAGCCACCAATTTCCACCTCTTCAATGCCACCAATGGCCATGAGCATAGCAACCAATTTCCACCTCTTCAATGCCACCAACGGCTGTGAGCATAGCCACCAATTTCCACCTCTTCAGTGATACCAATGGCTATGAGCATAGCCACCAATTTCCACCTCTTCAATGCCACCAACGGCTGTGAGCATAGCCACCAATTTCCACCTCTTCAGTGATACCAATGGCTATGAGCATAGCCACCAATTTCCACCTCTTCAATGATACCAATGGCCGTGAGCATAGCCACCAATTTCCACCTCTTCAATGCCACCAACGGCTGTGAGCATAGCCACCAATTCCCACCTCTTCAATGCCACAATGCCATGGCATAGCCCATTCCACCTCTTCATGCCACCAACGGCTGTGAGCATAGCCACCAATTTCCACCTCTTCATGATACCAATGGCTATGAGCATAGCCACCAATTTCCACCTCTTCAATGACCAACGGCTGTGAGCATAGCCACCAATTCCCACCTCTTCAATGCCACCAATGGCCATGAGCATAGCAACCAATTCCCACCTCTTCAATGCCACCAACGGCTGTGAGCATAGCCACCATTCCACCTCTTCAGTGACCAAGGCTTGAGCATAGCCACCAATTTCCACCTCTTCAATGCACCAACGGCTGTGAGCATAGCCACCAATTCCACCTCTTCATGATACCAAGCTATGAGCATAGCACCAATTCCACCTCTTCAATGATACCAACGGCTGTGAGCATAGCCACCAATTTCCACCTCTTCAATGCCACCAACAGCCATGAGCATAGCAACCAATTCCCACCTCTTCAATGACACCAACGGCCGTGAGCATAGCCACCAATTTCCACCTCTTCAATGCCACCAACAGCCGTGAGCATAGCCACCAATTCCCACCTCTTCAATGCCACCAATGGCCATGAGCATAGCAACCAATTCCCACCTTTTCAATGATACCAATGGCCGTGAGCATAGCCACCAATTCCCACCTCTTCAATGATACCAACAGCTGTGAGCATAGCCACCAATTCCCACCTCTTCTGGTACCACGAAGATGAATCTTGACAGAGTTTTTTTCAGAATGGGAATCGGCAGAATGGCTACAGAGACCTCTTTCTGCGCATCAGAAGACCCACACAGAAGCCCCTCTGGGAGCTACCGTCTCTTCCGAAGGATCCCGCTTGGCCAGCCTGACGAGCCCCTGAGGCAGATGCACTCTCTCAACACAAAGTGTCTGCCAGACTCCAGCCTCCACTTGAATGGAGGCAGTTACCCCAGTGAGTGATTTCCTCTGAGCTGGAACAGCAAACTGAAGGAAGAGGACCTCAGTGAAATATGGATGACTTGCCTGCATGATTGCTGGGGCTGGAGGCTCCAATCACAAGCACTTCATACTCATTAGATACGTGTAGCTTCATATTTGTTATGAGCAATTTTTCTTTGTCAGATGCATTTTGAAATTTTTCATCCTAAGGGATTACTGAAAATATTTAGTCCCATGAATATCAACAATATGGCAAATATATAGGAAAGTGCACCATATGTCAATTCTGAAATAATTACAGAATTTACATATTTGAGGAAAATCTCATAGCTCTAATTAGGTAGAATTCACATGGAGGCATGTATCTTCATGCAGACACATATAAAGAAGCCGAGCACAGCTGTGGTGTGAACCCCAAAACTTGGGGTGGAGATGAAAGGGCGAAGGGGAGTGTGGTTATGGATGGTGATTTAAGGAGTTCCAGGAAAGACTCACTGAGAATTAGGAGGTTTTAGTAATTATAAGATGGAGAGCAACTGAATAGTTACACAAAGAGTAATCACAAAGATATAAATGTAATTTGTTGTAAGATTAAAATTTGACAACACTGCTAAATGAAGTATTAGGTCTGTGCAAACGTAATTGCTGTTTTTGCCATGACTTTTAATTGCAAAACCACAATTACTTTTGCATCAACCTAATATTAATTCATCTACTCCAATAATTGCCATATTCTTATCATTACTCGTCTCAGTTAACTACTATAGATAAATTGTGTTACCACCCACATTAGGATATTATTTCTATCTCTACTTCATCTAACTCTCAATAACAAAATAGATCACCTGTTATGATTACTCTTGTTTTACAGATGGAAAGAGCGAGGCCCAAAGAATCTGAGTGATTTGTCAAAGGTGTCTGTTTAATTATCAACAGACAGGTCCCTCCTCAATTCCACCTTCCTCTCTTTTTAATGTCCCATCTATTTTGTCACATTCTCAGCCATAATTCCAGAACTGTCTACATCTTTAATTCCCATCACATGGATAATCTGATGTTCCCTTTTTTTTCTGTAGTTCTTCTGAGATGCCTCTTGTCACAATCAGGACTTACACCCACATTGCCACAGCTGGTGATCACTTTCTTGTTCTCAGCTTATGGGGCTCTCAGAAGCTTTCAGCACAGTTGCCAGCTCTCCCCTGATGATATGGTTGGATTTGTGTCCCCATCCAAATCTCATGTTGAATTATAATCCCCGGTGTTGGAGGAGGGGCCTGGTGGGAGGCAACTAGATCATAGGGGTGGATTTCCCTCTTGCTGTTCTTGTGACAGTGATGAGTTCTCACAACATCTGGCTGTTTAAAGGCATGTGGCTCCTCCCCTTCACTCTCTCTTCCTCCTTCTCTGGCTTGTAAGACTTGCCTGCTTCCCCTTCACCTTCCGCCATGATTGTAAGTTTCCTGAGGCCTCCCCAGCCATGCTTCCTGTACAGCCTTTGGAACTGTGGGTCAATTAAACCTCTTTTCTTTATAAATGGCCCAGTCTCAGGCAGTTCTTTACTGCAATGTGAGAACAGACAAATAGAAGCCCTCACTCAGGACTGCTTCTCTCTCATCAACACTTCCCCATGCTGCATCTGCCTCTCACCCAACTCTCATGCTCATGCTGACAACCAATGTTGATCCAATGTTTAACCTACAATCTTCTCCAATTTTGCCTCTAAAGAAATGCAAATCCTACTGGCATTGATGATTCATCTGTCTGGTATTCAATCCCACTTGGATCCATTAATTCCCCTTCTTGATATACATCTAAAGGATTTGAAATTAGCATATCAAAGACATCACTAGACTCCCGTGTTCACTGCAGCACTATCCACGATCGTCAAAATATGGAATCAACCTAAGTGTCCATCAAGGCATGAACAAATGAAGAAAATGTACATTTGCACAACGGAAGACTATTCAGCTTTTAAAAAGAAAAAACTCCTGTAATTCACAACAACATAGACAAACCTGGAGGACATGATATTAAGTGAAATAAGCCAGGCACAGAAAGACAAATACCACCTAACCTCACTCATCTGTGGAAAATTTTTAAAGTTGAACTCATCGAAGCAGAGAGAAGAATAGTGGTTACCAGAGGCTGAGGTATGGGGTGTGGTGTAAGAGATTGGGGAAATGTTGGTGAAAAGATACAAAATTTCAGTTGGACAGGAGGAATAAATTCAACAGACGCATTGTGCAGCATGATGCCTCTAGTTAATAACAACATACTGTATTTTCAAAAATAAAAGAAAAAAGAGTGAAAGGGTATATAATACAATGATAAGAAGGACATGCCTCGAGGTCTGACCTTGCCCAGCAGCGCCAGAAACCCAGAGGCAGCCTCCTCCCCAGCGTGATGCCTGTGCATGAGGGCCTGGGTCCAGGCTGCAGATGTAGCCACTGTTGTACCCTGCAGTGGTGCAGATGGGTAGCAGCTGCCTAGTGGCCCCTGCAGGGGTTCAGTCTTAAGCCAACTCTTCCCTCTTCCTCTTGTTCAACTTCCTGCCAGGAAGGCAGGTAAATGTTTTGTACCAAAAAAGCACTAATTTCCATTGAGATAGGATTTTAAGTTTTAGAGGAGAGAGGAGTGGAAAATAGATAATATAAAAAATGAAAATGTGAATAAAGATTTAATCCCAGTGAGGCTAGAATGTGCAGGGCTTGGCCTTGAAAGAGACTGAGCTGCGTGCTGACTCACCAGAGTGGCATGCGGATCCTCCAAGCCCGCTGTTGAGGAGTGCTGTGGGTGGAGGCTCCACTTTGCGGGGACCGGCTTCCCGAGTTTGCCTTCCTTGCTGTCAGCATGGCCTCAGGGGCTGAAGAAGCAGGGCTCGCAGGGCTCCCAAGGCCACCAGACAACATAAATGTTAACACCATTGTAGGGATTATAGCTGTTGGTTTTCAGTCATGCTTTTACACACACTCTGGATGCTTTTGAAGTTCATTTGAATTCTATCCCTCAGATAAACAGACTCTCCTGAGAAAGACAGTTTCCTAGGCGCCCTAGCAACAGCACAGTGCTTGGGTGGTGGTGGTTGTTATTGTTGTTGTTTGTTTTAATATTTACCTAAGGTCACAGTCACATCTTATAATTTATTATATCTGAATTATTTAGAGTGATTATAAACTGTCCATCTCAGGGCTTAATGTTAATGAATGCTTCGGGGAAATGAACAGAATGATAAATTCAGGCCGATGCAGGCACCTCCCCACTTTTATGGGAAGAAGGGCCCCACTCTTGTCCTCTACACCCAGGAGGAGCCCTGACCCATCGACTCACTTCTCATTCTCTTGTCATTACAGATCTCTGCCTGGTTCCTCACACAATAACAGAGGAGATGGCTGAAACGCTGCCTTCTGGGAGTTTATAAACCATGGTCGCTGCCTATTTTCAGGAGGAAATGCTCCTGGAGCTGAGAGGGCTGTGCTGCCCTGTGAGGCTCCCATCCCCTTAGTTGCCAGCCCACCATCTTCCCTGGGGACCACACGCTGTGCAAATCCACCATCCATCCATTACCGTCCATTATCAGATGGAAGCTTTCCAGCCCCCTGGTGAGAAGCCAGAGAGCACTAATGTCCACATGGGGACAAAATTATTGACCATGAACTGAGGAAATGTATTTTTTTTTGCTTCTTCCCACTTTGATCGGAATTACTAACTTGATCAACATGAAATTAAAATGAAACACTTGGGGAAGAATCTCTTGAAGTCCATTTTTTTATCGCTGGGCTGAGACCATATTATGCAGTCAAAATGCCAGGTTATTTCAAATTAGTCAAATTAACAAATCTAACTCAGTCCTTGGCTATATTATTCATCTGTTTTAGGATATGATGAGAGAAAGTGTGTGACTTTTTCAGCAAGTTACACATTAGAAAATCGAGACGAGATGTCCAAGTTCACAGTCATCTCATCATGATCGAACAGAGGGATAATCACAGGAAAACATTGTTGCTTCCCTGGAACACTGAATTTCTATGTAATCAGGTAAAATTAGGCCATTTCAGTTGTCACCTGCCTACACAGGGTGTGGCTATAGCTGTCATTTATAAAGAAGGGGCGGTGTGGAGGGGTAGAAGCCACTGGAGAGCAGCTGTGGCTGGTGCTTACTTCCGGGCTTCTGGCAGGGTCTGAGCTGGGTGCCAAGTGCAGCAGTGGAAAATGGCCTGGACTCTGTGCCGAGGGCTCTGACCTCTTCCCCAGCTTGGCTATCATCTTGAGTCAACACCGCTGGGCCTCAGTTCCCCAGAGGGCTGTGCTGCCCTGTGAGGCTCCCATCCCCGTAGTTGCCAGCCTGTTGCAGGTCCTGTTGGAATTTGGAATCAGGGACTGGAAAGGACTCAGGGGTTTATACCGTTGCACTGATTTACAAGAAGTGTTGACAGCTAGAAGGCGGATCTAAGTTCAGGGACCCCACACAGCTGTGTGGAGACTCACCTCCTGGGGCCCTGAGCAGGGTCTCCCACTCCAGAGACTGTGGGAGTGCCGTGCCTCCCAGGGAGATGGCTGCTCTATCATCTGGGTGCTCAGTCCCACCCTTGGAGACTCTCCTTGTGATGTTTCAAACCAGCCCAGCAATGGTCCTGGGTCCTGAAGAGTCTTTGTCAACAATAGGCAACCCGTTTGGGATATTGGACTGCTCAGACCAGGCAGTTTCTTTCCAGAGGCAATGTGGCTTTGTCCTCACTGAGCGTGGAAAGTCCAGCCCTGCCATTCTTTAACTCGGCAACCTTGGGGATGTTGCTGGCTGCTCTGAGCCTTGGGTCTCCATTGGTTTCCTCAGTGAGAATCAGCACAGACAACTGTATTCAAGGCATTTGGTAACCAGGAAAGGTGTAAATAAATATCTGGCATTATTATGACACCAGGGGCAATTATTTCTGCTGCAAAGATGGAGATGTTTATTAACTTGGATCACAGCTAGCTTTCTGAGATTTTATAATCATTGTAACTATATCACTTTTTAAAATATATCATTCCTTACTCAGCTTATTGCTTGACAGGTTTCATTTAATGTCATTTTGTATTTATAAAATTCTATTACCTATGTGATCTCATGTAATCCCCACGGCAACACTGTGAAGAGGTGCCACCACTTCTATTTGCAGAGGAACATGATGCCCCATGAGGTTTAAGGTTGTGTCCAAGGTCACACAGCAGCACAGCTAGAGCCAAATGCAAGATTCCCAAATTCCAGGCCAGTGACCTCTATGGCAAACCCCCAAACCTGAACTTCCTCAGACTGGAAGATTCCCATGGGCATTTGCTGCTTTACCTTGAGTGATCTTGGGCAAGTCACTGCAAGCTGAGGACTAGGCAAGCTGGGGTTCAAGGGATGCAAAAGTTCTCTCCAGATCTAAAATTCTGAATTTCTCTGGTGTTGTGTTTGCAGATTTTGCTCTTGCCAGTGCTTCATAGGGCCATGCCTTCCTGCTATGCCAGAAATAAAAGTAAGGACAAGAGCTGAGTCTTGGACACATTCTGTTGCACCTCTTTTCACCCAGAGTAGGCTACACACAATATGCTTCTTTTTTATTAATTTTAAAGGCCAAAGGCTTATTACTTATTAGCCATTCCAAGACAGTTTATTTTGAGCCATTATTGCCTATTTTACAAACACGCATTAGCAATATGTACATACATTGCAACGTGTGACCTGCAAATAAGAGTTTATTATCTTCAAATGCTCACACTGCCTGTATAAAAAATTGACACTAATAACTTACATTTTCCCTCCCTGTGGCTACTGCTAAACCAGCAATCTGTGTTAACCATTTGCTGACGTTCTCACAGGGAGGAAGAAAAAAGACCTTTTATGCTTCTTGCGAGTATGAAAAATGGCAGAAAGTTGAAGGAAAGGTAAACAGTTAAGGTTTTAGGGCTTTTTTCATTTTCAGATATGCATGTTAGAAATAAATTTTCGTGCCAAAAAAGAAATAGCACTTGAACATAAATGTAATTTTCTCAGCAAGGCAATGTTACTTCTATAGAAAGGTGTGACTTACAGATGGAGCAATGGCAAGAGCACACCTGAACAAGGGAAGGGAAGGTGTTTTTATCCCTGATGCAGGCAGCCCCTACTGCTGTACCGTTCCCCTATTGGCTAGGGTTGGACTGCACAGTCTAAGCTAATTCTGATTGGCTATTTTAAAGAGAGTGAGGGTACGAGTCAGAGTGGTGGGGTGAGTAATTTGGTAGGAAGGACAGTTACAGAACAGGTGACTCAGGATGACTCAGGTCAGAGCAGGTGACCAGGAGTGACTCAGGCTGAAGCAGGTGACCAGGGGTGACCAAGATCAGAGCAGGTGATAGAAGCTAGGAGGGGATTGTTTACTGAAACTAGGGGCAAGGAGACAAAGAGAATGAGGATGTTAAATTTTAAAATGAACAACAAAGAACAGGGAAGCTGAACACACTGATGCACTGGTTCTTTGGAGAGGATCTCAGAACTCATTGTACTTGACAATTTACAGGCTAAAACCTTTGAAGAGGAATTTATTATATCCTACATGCAGAACCCTCGTGGAAATTCTTGCCGGGCACAAGAGTGGGAGTAACCACACTTCGGAGTGCTGGGTCTGACTTTACACAAACTTATCTTATTGCCCAAACTTGGCTTTGACCTGGGATGTCCAGACATGTGTTAGAAATGCAAAATGCTTGTTCCTCGATGTCACAAAGGAATAGCACTTGAACATAAATTTAATTTTCTCAGCAAGGCAACTTTTACTTTCTGCAGAAAGGGTGCTCCTCACAGATGGAACAATGATGAGAGCACACCTGGACAGGGGAGGGGAAGAAGTTCTTATTCCTGACACAGGTAGCCCCTACTGCTGTGTCATTCCCCTATTGGCTAGGGTTGGACTGCACAGTCTAAGCTAATTCCAATTGGCTATTTAAAAAAACAGCAGGAATATGAGCCAGAGTAGCGGGGTGAGTAGTTTGGCAGGAAGGCCTGTTAGGAACAGGTAACTAAAGGTGACTTAGGTCAGAGCAGGTGACCAGGGATGACTCAGGTCAAAGCAGGTGACCGAGATGAGTCAGAACAGAGCAGGTGACCAGGGGAACATATGTGAACTACTGATTAAAACTGGTGGAAAAGGTTGTTTACTGAAACTAGAAGCAAGAGGGTGAAGAGAACCAGGAAGATAAACTTTAAAGTGGAGAATCAAAGAATAAGAAAGCTGAACATACTGGCATACTGATTCTTTGAAGGGAATCTTGGGGTTCACTATTTTTAACACATGGACATGAAAAACCATCTACTGAGAAGTGCAAACCCAGAGTCTACTAAACACCAGCAATTGTCCTGCCCAGGGTGGTTCTGAGCTCTCTGGGGCTGAGTAATGCCAGTCAAGGACATGAGAGGCTATCCAGGCACCAGACCTTCTGGAAAGATTATGGAGTGACTTACCAATCTGGAAGTGGGTCAGGGGTTTTGGGGGAAGGTCATATGTAAAGCCTGTAGCATTGAAGAGGCTGGGCTTAGAATCCCAGAGCTCAGGCAACTGGACTTGAAATCTCAGAGAGATGTTGTAGAAAGTAGAAAAGTGCCTCTCCAAAGTTCATCTTGGTTTAAAAATAAAATAATAGACACTAGGAATAATAGCTCCTTACTCTAAAGCCTCCTATCAACTGTTAGTTCTTACACTTTAGCGCAGTTAGTCACCTTGGCTTACTCAGGCATGTCTGGACAGGCCCACGCAAGTCTTAGCTCATAGCTTATGCCCCTTCCTTATTTGGAAATGTTATTGCTTCCTTAAGCCTTTCATAAGCAACTTCCTCTCCTTCTTTGTTCTCCCTTGCACTTACCTAGTTGGGAAAGTTTTAGGTTATTAGCAAATCGGGTATCAGTTTAAGACTGTGAGGTCCTGCTCCAGCCAATGGATGCAGGACATAGCAGTAAGGATGACCCAAATGCATAAGGGATAAATATGTATGTTTTCCTTTGTTCAGGGGTGCTCTCGCCATTGTTTCATCTGTGATGGGCACCCTGTCTGCAGAAAGTAAAAATGGCCTTGCTGAGAGAATTAAATTTACGTTCAAGTGCTATTTCTTTGTGGCACCAGGGAACAAGCATTTTGCATTTCTAACAGATGTAGCTACAGTTGTCGAACTCCATGCAGACCACTTCAATCAGTTGCCAAAGCTCTTCCAGACAGGTTCAAATACAATTCAGTTACAGCCTTCCTCTAGATTAACTGTATACTTAACAATACAAAGCTGCCATATTTGTGGGTCCAAAACAGTCCAGTATTGACAATTTTATGCAGTTCAACCTAATCACTTTTTTTTGGAGTTTCTATTTTAAATTAATTAGGCAAGCAAAAAGTGGCAAAAACAGTACAGAGAGGTCCATGTACCCATCACCCAGCTTCCCCCAATGGTGGCAGCTGATGTAATATGGTATCCTAATAAAAAACAGGCCTTGCTTGGATGTTACCAACCTAGCAGCTTCTGGGAGCTACCTCCTAGTTACTTCCACACTGACACATTTAACAATCTTTTAAGATGTGTTTATTTAACAGGTGAGAGATCATTCATTTTTTTTTTTTTTTTTTTTTTTTTTTTGAGACGGAGTCTTGCTCTGTTGCCCGGGCTGGAGTGCAATGGCCGGATCTCAGCTCACTGCAAGCTCCGCCTCCCGGGTTTACGCCATTCTCCTGCCTCAGCCTCCTAAGTGACTGGGACTATAGGCGCCCGCCACCACGCCCGGCTAATTTTTTGTATTTTTTAGTAGAGACAGGGTTTCACCGTGTTAGCCAGGTTGGTCTCGATCTCCTGACCTCGTGATCCGCCCGTCTCGGCCTCCCAAAGTGCTGGGATTACAGGCTTGAGCCACCGCGCCCGGCCGAGATCATTCATTTTGTTAAAGTTTTGCAAACATTATATTCTCAAGATAAAAAATTCAATTGATATAACTTTCTTCCTCACTCTTCTCTCTCATGCTGTGGAAGAAGCTGTTGTTGAAAATTTGAGGTAAATATCTCTTTACCTTCTCCTATGGGTATATATATAGTTACACATCATTTCTTTTACAAAACGATCATATTTTATAACCCTTTTCTCACTAGTATGTTATCCCAGGAGGGTTCTTGGCTTCACCCCAGAAAGAATTCAAGGACTAGCTGGTGGTGTTAGACAGCAACTTTGATTGAAACAGCAGTGCACAGCAGCAGAAAAGGTGCTGCTCCTTGCAGACAGGGACACCCCATAGGCTGTGTGCCCAGAGCAGAGCTCAGAGTTCTGCACTCACATTTATACACACTTTTAATTACACGTGAGTTAAGGGTCTCACATGTAATTTCTAGTTATGTAGAAATTTCTAGGAAAAGCGTGGTAACTTCTGGGTCATCCAGTCATTGCCATGAAAAGGAGTGGTAATACCAGGTGTTGCCATGGCAATGGTAAACTGACATGGCTCAGTGGTGGGCATGTCTTATGGAAACCAGTTTTTGCCTTGTCCCTCTTTAGCTAGTCCTCAATTTGGTCTTGTGTCCAAGCCCCACCTCCAGAATCAAATCCCACATCCTGCCTAAAAAGGAGAAATTATATAGACAAAACTAAATGGATAAAAAGACAAAGGAAAAGGTGGGGAATGAGAAACCTTTGACTCCTGGGTGGCCACATGGTTACCCATCTTAAGGAGCTACAGCTAGACTGCATTCAGTTACTAAAGGTGAAAGTCACCAGTGGAATTTAGAGGTAGATCATCCTCCAGGAATTGGGTTCACTGGATGCATTAGGAAACGCAAACTAATAAGGAAAAAGCAAAATATCCAAGCCCGTGGCTGTTGTTATCTGTGATAGGTAAAATGACAGTGAATGAATGTTGGGTTTGGCCTTAAGGCCGGACCAAGCTCAGATGTGGGTTTGTCTCAGCTCAGGCCACGAGCCTCAAAGCTACCCACAAAAGGAAAAATCAAGGGCAGCAAAAGGTACCTCTGGAATCTGTGGTTACCTAGAAGATAGTCACCATTGGAAAGGGCA